ACATAGGTTTGATCTAAAATAATAAGCTACATCTATAAATCCATTTAGAACCGCACCCATACTTCTGGACTCCAGCAGGCGAGTCCCGTTAGCATGACTGCCGCAGCACTAACCGTGTTAGCTCCGGTAAAGACTAAACAAGTAATTTGTGAAAGCTACGACACACACACACACACACACACACAGATATAATCTAAAAGATGATCCCCATTTTTCAACAATAGATCCTCCTATAGGACTGGTAGAACCTCCTTGTCATCCTAGATTAGAAAACAACGATCAGAGCAAGCGAGTTAGCATCAGGAAGATTTATTCTGGTAATTAATCGGTTAAATATTTTCCGATGTTATACCAATAAATACACCCAGCGGTAAAGCTGGCAACACGTTATTTTACTCATCTGTAGATTACTGAATTATATTGGAACAATATGATGGAGCTTATCAGCTGAGAATTTAACTGAAAGCTACCGGTGGGGCACAGACATGAAATATTTAACAAACTTTAACAAAATGTTCCGATTTTGGTTCTGAAGACGAACAGAATCCTCCCCAGTGTCCTAATCGGGCCGCGGGTTTTCTGAGTGAAATGGTCCAAAGCATGTCTGCACCTCCGGTTCTGATATCCAGCTGCAGGGCACGGAGTTCGGTTGAACGTCTCCGGTTATCCAATATCCGTTCTTGTCGCCGTATCCCAGAGAAAAAAAAACAAATCTGACCGACTAGCAGAGGCTTCAGAAGCTGCATCTGACCGATGGCACACTGTTCTCTGCTATAACGCTAATGCAGAAACACCGGAGTCAGGCGTTGTTTACTATTGCTGTTTCAGCAGGTCTCCTTGTGAAACGTCACCAGCTGCCCAGGGCTTAGACCGGAAGTTAGTTTCTGGTTTTCCTGCGCCAGTCAAAAACATCAGATTTTCTTTAAATTCCAGCTGTGAAAATCCAAAAACCTTTTTCATCTGAGGTTTTAATACTTCTTTACACATTCAAAGGAATTTTGCCCCTGGCCAATATCTTTAACCCTTTGTTGTGTTGGTATCAATCATTACCAGCATCTATTAACATGCATATAGATGCAACTTTAATGAGGCTGCTGCTTTTAAGTGGTTCGGGCATCGGTTAGAGTGTGTGTGTGTGTGTGTGTGTGTGTGTGTGTGTGTGTGTGTGTGTGTGTGTGTGTGTGTGTGTGTGTGTGTGTGTGTGTGTGTGTGTGTGTGTGTGTGTGTGTGTGTGTGTGTGTGTGTGTGTGTGTGTGTGTGTGTGTGTGTGTGTGTATGTGTGTGTGTGTGTGTGTCCATTCTTGTGCTTACTACATACTGAGGACCATTTTCACTTTTTTTTCCTACAAAGTGAGGACATTTTTCTGGTCCTCACTTTGGGTATGGTGTGTATTAAGTTGTAGTTAAGGTTAGGGTTAAGAATAGACTGGTTAGGGTTAGGCACAGTGCAGTCACGAAAATGAATGAAAGTCAATGATGGTCCTCACAACGAATGCTGGACAAGAATGTGTGTGTGTCTGTCTGTGTGTGTGTGTGCGTACGTGTTCACCACTTTTTCTCTGTACACACACACACACACACACACACACACACACACACACACACACGTGTCCATGCTCTCCCAGCAGTGTTATCTGAAGTCCTGCCAGAGCTCGGTTCAACAAGCCAGCTTGGACCCATGATGTTAGTCCTGTCCAAACCTGAGCAGCTGTTAAGAGACTTATCTCGTCGCCCGGCTCTCAGTAAAAGTGGAACATCGTGGCTGTTGAGCTGTTCCCTAATACCCTCATGATTCATACTTGTTCTGCTCCTTTTCCCAGAATGCAGCTCTGCATGCCTCACAGTGCTGTTGTCTTTACCCCGAACAGCGTCAAATCAGTGGATTACTCATCGTTCAACTGGGGCAACAAATTGCATTTTGTGTGTGTTTAAGTCAGTTTAAACAGTAATGGCTTGTTCTTCAAGTGCCTCAATGCTGCTGCTTGTTCTAACAGAATTAAATTTGATTAGTAAAGCTAAGCTGAAGCGTTAAAACCACATAGCTGTTTTATATTTTTCAGGACTAGAATGTTGCAAATAAATTTGCTTTAAAATTTTTGGTTTGTCCTCCTCAGAAATGAATGTTTGCTTTGATTCTTTGCTCTTTTTTTTCCCCGTGTCCTGTCCAACTGTAAAACAATCAGAATTGATGTCTGAGAGCCGAAAACAAGCCTTACAGTTTTGTTCTCACAAGTGGAGCATTATAGATTCAGCTATAATGCCCCGCCTGATAGCAAAATTTTATTAGAAATGCTTTTGGTTGTTTTTAATCCCAATGGACGTGGAGACAAGACGAAAGAAAAATGAAAGAGAAGAGGTGGGGTGGGGGCACACACAACAAAGAAAGGATGTACTTGCTTCTAGACCTGCAGAAAGAGAGAAAAAAAAGGGACACACAATGCAACGGAACCAAAATTTCACTGCGTAAACAGTAAACATGAGGATATATAATAACAATTTTGCTGAAAAACACACCGTAGTAATTCATAGTGCATTTAGTGCCGACCACAGCCCATGGTGATGATTTAAAAAAAAAACATAAAACTGAGTCCATACTTGTGAGAGCACCGTGTATGTTTGCTTTGATTCTTAATATTTAGTCTCTTTAAAGAGGAACTACACACCTTCATAAAATGTAACTCCACTCAAGATTTGAAAAATGCTATGGAAGTGGGCATTGCCAGGAGGCATGGAGTGGCATGGCCAAGCGTGGGGAATTTCCATCCCGGGAGGGAGGGGGAGTGGGAGGAGACTGTACCGATGACGTGAAATTGTTCCAGCCCCACAAATTTAAAATGCAGTAGCCACAGTTCAACCCACAGGGGGCAGCACTAAGGCGTTTTTAGACCAAGATTTTAGATTTAATCGAGTTTACACAAACATGTCAGAAAATGCACAGAAACAGAAAGGTTGTATTTGTAAAGACCCAGTTATTCAGTTTCTTAGCAAAAATGTATTATTTTGGGGTATAGCTACTCTTTAATTAAATATCCTATAATTGTTGATTGATTAGTATGAGGATTGCTGTATAGTCACTGACACTCGTCAGTGACTTGATGCAATTTGCTGGGTTCCTTATATAGGAAACATTATTTCTGATTGGCTTAATGAACTGTGAATTGGAATGTTTATTATGTGAAGTGCCTTGAGACGACTCTTGTCGTGATTTGGCGCTATATAAATAAACTTGAATTGAATTGAATTGCATCACTAAAAAAGTAAATAAGGCAGATAAATTGCATTGATATAAAGGTTAAATTCCAAACCATTCAAAACTACATTTAGATTATGAATTTCAGCCTATTGGTTGTATTTCTAGATTTCCACAGCTCTTGTTTGAACAGAGAAAAATTCTCTCAGACAGATTTTATCCAACGACAGGTCAGAGGTATGTATTCTCAAAACGTCAAGCTTTTAGCTGCCTGACATCTGCCTTGACCAAAACATTTACTGGTAAAAGCAAACCGACAAATAGCACAGGTTTGATCCTAGAACATTTATGACTTCAGAGTCCTGTTCCTGTCATGTGCAGTCTCAGACCTTCTTGACACATTCCTCTATTCGTTTTCAATTAGTGCCAACGCTTGAAGGAAGCCCTGGTTACCGAGGAGCCTCCTCTGTGAAATTCAGCAGCAACTATCTAATCAGATGTGTTTACATCAAGCATTCTGTTGTTCGTTACGGTTTAATAGAGCAGCTTTGGGCCTTTTGAATCATCTTTGTTTGAAATTGGTTCCAGATACAAAACTGACCCATTTCTGACCCTAAACCAAGAAAACAGCGTTGAAGACATTCACAGTGATTTATTTATTTATTTATTTATTTATTTATTTTGTTGCAACAGACTCCTTACAAGAGGTCTAATATGAAAGTTTTATTTGTATTATTGACATAGTGACAGTATATTGCATGTAAAAACTGTATTTTGTTTAATATGTTGTGTTTATTGTGTGTTGTTGTCCGTTTGGGCAACGGTCAGTGTCCGTGCCTGCTGGGAGGAGAGCCAGCGCTGAGTGTCCTCACCTGTTTGCTACTAAGTGTGAATTGAAGAGTTAGCAAGCGATCTAGACAGAGAGGTGTGAAGACGAACCCTGCCGACAGCGAAAAACATTACTCTTTTCAAAGATCACGGGGCACTAGCGAGTTATTCAGCCTGTGAAATATAATAACATTTGTATAAAAAACATTAATAACAAGTAATTAAAGCAAACAGAGGTTTAGTCGAGCAATCAGAGAGGTGAGGCACACAAAGTGTAAAAGTGATTGATTTGGTGGCCTAAAAAAGATTAAGCTAACATTTATGACTGTGGCTCCTCAGAGGCAGAATCCAGTTTGCTTTTATGTGTTTTTCTAATCAGCTCCGAACTCAATTTTTCTTAGCAGATAAACAAATAAATCAAGTTATTTTATTACATGCTGGACAAGAAAACAAGTTTATAGATCAGTATCTTAATTTGTCCCAAATGTCTGCTGTGTTTCCCCGTGTGTTGCTATCCTGCATTGCTAAACTTAGCGTTATCATCCAACACACACACACACATCAAATTCAGAGGCTTATCCAAGTTGTAGTAATGTGGACACCATATGCTGCAGCAGACGAGCCGTTTTTAGGAATGTCTTCTTTCTCCGACGGTGACAACATGATGCATACTTTACTGTTAGTGAAAGCCGGCTCACACACGGTTAGCACACACATTTTCTCAGGAAAAAAAAAAGACATCTTGGCTGTTAACTGTTACTGGCACCAGGTCTTCACTTTAGCAAAATCAAATCATGTTTCACCAACAGTGTTAGGCGATGGAAGGAAAACTTGAAATCACCTGTGCAGTGATGCCTTACCGTGTGTCTGGGAGGTGTGAAGAGGACCGATGTTATGTAATCAGTGTTTAAAAAAAACTCATCTGTATGTGTTTCTAACATGATACGTCACATTTTTGAAATGCCTGTCCTTCTGGCTGCAGACTATTTGGCAAAGCACGGCCGTCTAAGTGAGCTGGAGGCCCGGAGGAAGTTCTGGCAGATCCTTTCTGCGGTCGAGTACTGTCACAACCGAAACATCGTCCACAGAGACCTGAAGGCAGAAAACCTGCTGCTAGATGGCCACATGAACATCAAGATTGCAGGTAATTTAGACACACAGAGCGTAGTCTGTAATCTCACTGAGAATTTAAAACTCTTTGGATTTGTTTCCTGACATAATCTCAGATCTCTGAACCAAATGTCAAAGACAACCAGATCTTTTAGGTGTTAGGAGGCTTGTCCTACATTGTTTTTAAAACCGAAGCTTAAAAAAAAATCCCTCCCTCTTCAACTTCAACTGTGAAACATTAAAGATGGAGTCCAAAAATAGGAATAGAGTTAAAGGCAGAGATGTGAGACTTCATCTTTGGATCTGTATGGTTTGGATCAAACGAGTCGTATTTAGAGCTGTCATGTGATGGTGTCACCGAGTAGATGAGAGCAGTGTGGGGAAGTGAGAGGGTCAAGCTTGGACCCAACGGTGGAGGAAAGGATGGAGTGTTCTCTGAGAGGCTCAGGATTTATCTTCGCTGAAGTCCATCAGACGTTAAAGGATTTAATGAAAGCTGCTAAAAATACAGCCGTTAAAGATGAATATCAATGTGCTCCTCAATTTAAATGGTTGTTGTTCATTGTCTTCCTTTATTTCCAGAAGGTGAAAACAGATGAAGACACAAATGAACACATCTGTAGAATTACCCATAAATTATAAATGTGCTTTTCAGCTACATGATTTCTCCAATCTTCCTTTCCTCAGAAGACGGTAACCTGAAGATGTTATGACCCAGCAGTAATTTTGTCTGACTCGCAGCTGATTTTCAGCACCGCAGATTAGATTTGATGCAGCAAAACAATGAAAAGAACATTAACTGTGATTAGAGAAAAGGTACGGTCTGTGCCACTCTGCCCAAAACATGCAATTACAATTTTGGTAAGTGGTAGATGAAGTTTAAATGAGTTATTGTGTTAAATTAGTCCCATACATTAAAACAAGTCATTCCCTGTCTGCAGTGAATTGGTATGTTTATTATCAATCACAAGTTCACTGATTCACACCATTTCTTTAGGGATTAGGCTTTGATAATCTGCAGATTTTTCAAATCTGATAACTAAGCAACCAGATTTACTGCGTGATCCCTGTAGAAACGTCTGGCAGCTCAGTGGCCTAGTGGTAGAGTGTCCGCCCTGAGACTGGGAGATCAGGGTTCGATTCCTGGTCGGGTCATATCAAAGACTTTGAAAAAATCGGACCCAATGCCTCCCTGCTTGACTCTCAGCATTAAGGGGTTGGATTGGGGGGTTAAACCACCAAATGGTGCCCGATCGCGGCTGTGTCTGCAGCTCACCAATTTCTCACACACATCAGTGTGTGTGTGTGTGACAACTAATGGGACTTTAACTTTTAACTTTAACTTTAAGCAACCAGATTTACTGTGTAGAAACATCTGGCACTTGTATGAAAATGGGAGGATTCTTGCTTTCATGTCGGGAAACATGTTAGAAATCTTGTGACAAATTTCCTCTCAAAGTAATCATTGCTGCATTAGGAAAACCTTTCGCAAAAACTTTTCCATGAGGAATATTTTACATTGCTTGAGAGGTGTTAGCAATTAAATTTTAACTAAAAAGAGGCTAGATTGATTACTGAGAACTAACTTTTTTTTGTTGTAAAAATATTAAATATGTAAAACATTGCTCAGGGGGGTTGGATATACCTTTTGGGTGTCATTCCACTGTAGGTTTTCTAGTCACAGGCCAGTGAGATGTGCTTTATGGACAGGTGGAAAGTAAAAACTTCTATTTGCACGTTTACTCAAAGACAGGACAAGAACAGATGGATGAAAAAGTTCTAAACTCACATTGACCCCTTCCCCTTCTTTCCACCGGAGGCAAAAGCAACGTGCAATGAAATGGAGACATTTTACCCGCGAGCTTTCGGGAGCGTAAGTTTTCCACACATGGTGAGAATTGCAATGCCACGAGTGATTTCTGAAGTTACAAGCCAGGAGAAAAACAGCTGCAAGCATCCAGAAAGGTCTGTGGTTTATTTTCTGTTCTGTTCACATCGGCTGCAGGGTTTTAACAGGAAATGGCGTATGTTCGTGTGCACGTGACTTTTATTTTGAAAGTTTCCGGATGTTTCACGCTGCTTTTGTGTTACTTCCTGTTTGGTGTTATCTAACCTGTGGAATTTGATATTTTGATGCGTAGCGTGTGAAAAATAGACTCTAAATGTAATGAGACCGTCCCTTCGCTCCTGAGACACTTTGCTGCCGGTGGAAAGTAACTCATCCACTATAACAACAGCTAATTGCTGTGTTGTGTGTTTCGCAGCAGTTTTGCGAAGCTTTCATGTCAAGTGGAAAGAAGGGGTCAATCTGTCATTTTACAAGGTAGTTCTAAAATCTGTCTTAATTATTGCAACCAGTTTCAAGTTTCTATAAAGTTTATTCTGGCTTTACATTATAACCCATTCACTTTGACACGTGCTTCCTTTTGTCTAATGTTTACGAACCGGCTGATTATTTAGTAGGTTTTCTAGTTGAATAAATCCAGTTTGCTTGTATAAACCAATTCTGTCTACTTGTACAGCACATTCTATTTTGTATTATTAGAAAAGAACAGCAGAATTTTGTCATATAGTAAAAAAAATTGTTTTGTTTTCATTTTTGGTGTTTTAATGTGCCATTCAAGTTTGACACACTCATTGTAGTATAACTTTGTGAAGTACCTTGAGACGACTCTGATTTGGCGCTAAGTAAACAAACTGAATTGAATTGGATTAACATTGTATAAAATCTGCCTCTGGAACGTACACCCATCACTACCAGTGCAGGTTAATTCCTCCGATTATCTCAGATGAGTTTTACTGATGAATAAAAGTGAAATATTTTAAAATCAATACACGCTAATTGAGCTACGATGATCGATAAATGATACTTAAGCTTCGAGGAGTTTTAACACGTAATTGTCTGAAAACTATTTCCTTGCCCAAAGCGTCTCTAGAGCTTCTGGGTAGGTTTTTTTTTATTTATTTATTTTTTATGTCTTTCTCCTGGAGTCCATCCATTTCTCCCAGCTCTCAGAAGGCCACCCCCGGTCAGCCTGTATGAAGCTTAACCGGCGGTCGGAGAGGGAAAGGTCGCAGCGATGGCGGCTGCAGAGGAGAGTGCAGCAGTAGCAGCAGGGAGTGCCCTTAATGTTTTCACTTCAAACAACCTGTTTGGGGTCCAGTTGACAGATTGACGAGGATGGAAAGAGAGAAGGAGAAATAACACAAACAAGGAAAGAGAGGAGGCCTCCTAGATTATTTTTCATTTTACTTTAGAGATTAATAATGTCACATTTAGTATTTGTTCACTTAATTGTTTGTTTTAGTAAATGTTCACGGTTTATTAAAATAAAAAACAGATGACAGTGTGTAGTGTCTTACATAATAAGTAGTAAGTATGGTTTAGAGGACTGGCTTTTGTGTTTTAGCATTTGAGAAAAACTGTAATACGTTTGCAGTGGTCTCTAGGAGTTCCTTGTGAGTTGTACTCTGTGTAGAGAAAGCCCTGGTGCACCTGTTTCAGGAACTACAAGGTTGCCAGATCAGAGGAGTGTTTCAGGTAACAGGATTTGGAGTCTTACTTCCTGATATTTGGACATCTCACCTCTGATTGGCTATTGACTCCCTTTTCTCTGCAACGTTGTTGTTTTATCTCCACTAATACCACAAGCCTGGAGGAGTTCTGCTTGGTGGTGAAGTTGCTAATGCTAATGATTGTTAGCGTCTATTAGCTGAGACGTTCTCTGCTGTTTCCTTGACACTAAACCAACAACAGCTTTCCACGTCATGAGTCAAGATGGGTGAGTGCATGAATGTTAAGTGGCAGTGTGACGTAGATCTGTCAAGTCTTTTCTAATCCTAGAGTTCCACCGTCTATTTTCTATCAGAAGCTAAAGCAGGGGATAGGTGTGGGAGATATTTTCATGATCAGCCTGCATGAAAAACTCAGTGACCAATTATAATCAGAAATATTCATTAAAACATGTTTTTTCAGTGAACCACACCTTTAGTTTTATTAGGATGAAGATGAGAAATAGTAATTTTTATGCAAATTTAAAATATTTAAAGGAAGGCTTGTACTGAGTCATAAATACATGTACCATGTGAACAGCTGCAGGACTTGACTCACCTGCACTGATTCACTCAAACTGATTGTATTTCCAGTGGAACATGTGTGATATTATGCTAATGCGTGTGTGTGTGTGTGTGTGTGTGTGTGTGTGTGTGTGTGTGTGTGTGTGTGTGTGTGTGTGTGTGTGTGTGTGTGTGTGTGTGTGTGTGTGTGTGTGTGTGTGTGTGTGTGTGTGTGTGTGCGTGCATGTGTGACACTTGGGGCACCACCACCCCACCCTTCCTGTAGAGCTGTTGGTAGCCTACAGCATGCCGGCATGTCTGACGTCAACTAGTCTGCTCAGTATTCAGCTCCATGAAATGGGTCACAGCTTCTGACGATAAAGCAACTGCAGCGCCTTCGCTCCACTCCGCCTGCGTCTTCTATCTCATGTTCACAAAAGCATCAGACAGTAAACAGAACTGTAATAAACCCAATAATGCAACACAGTTCTGCTGCTGCTGCAGCCGGCATTGCAGTAATTGCATTCGCTCACATCTGGCGATTTGGTTTTGGATTTTTTTTTGTTTTCTTAATCCTTCAAATCTGATTCCTAAATGTATTTGAACTGTTTAATGTTTTCCAGGAAGAAAACAGATTGCAGTCCAGATTATGTGTTGTCCTCGTCTGTTTGCACATAGTTTGATTTATTTATTTATTTATTTTTGCTTTATCTTAGAGAGGGATGGGTAAAAACATGCAGCTCAGGTCTTTGCACAAAAACTAATCCAAAGAAATAATTTTATAGAATATCAGACCATTAATTTAAGGGGAAAACTGAACCAGTATGAGCGTAAATAGTCGTGTGTGTGTGTGTGTGTGTGTGTGTGTGTGTGCGTGTGCGTGTGCGTGTGTGTGTGCGTGTGCATGTGCGTGTGCGTGTGTGTGTGTACCTTCTACCTCCCTTTGATGCAGACATAAATCCCAGTACAATAAATAAAATCTCAGACACCACTTGAATTCTCATTCGATGGTGAGAAAAAACTTCATCTAGCGGAGTAAGACAAGGATGCACGTCTAACCGTTTTATAGATTAAATTTGTCCGACAGTTTAGAGGTGAACACAGAGGAGATGAGAGGACTCAAAGGACACACTAATTAACAAATGAGATTTGTCCGCAGGTCACATAATCTATCTATAGTTCAGTCAGGTGCTGAAATCCTGTCTATGATCCGATGAGTCCAGTGAAATGTTTAAACCCACCAAAGTGGAAAAAGGTAGAGCTGAAGTTACAGCTACTGTTTGTTTTTGGTTTTTTTGTTGGTGCATAATTGTATAAAAATCATTTTGTAGGATAGTTGGAAGCAAAAATCAAACTTTGTTTGATTAGTAATTGATCATCTGATCAAAGTCGACATTGTTATGACCTCTGCTGTTCATTTTTTATAAGTAAAACTGAATCTGATACTGTTAGGAAATGTAGTTTTTGCTTGTTTTATGCATTTTTACAAACTACAAAAAGAAACCACTTTGTGTTTTTTTTATCATTAAAACCTGTAACATGCTTTAAATGATTTATTAATGTTATCTGGTTTACAGTGTGGTGTTTCGTAATGTGGAAATGCTTCAAAATGGAAATGTTAAACCATTTGTCCAGATTTTTTTATTGTGCATTTAAACCCACATCCCCTCGAGCCCAATCGTACAAGCTGGATATGTTTTAAACCTGTAGTTTATTTGTTTTGCAATGCATTTTGTTTCTGTTTATGTAACCGTTCCAAATTATGGAAAGAGGGTGGGGGTGGGAGCTAAAGTGCAGCTGTCTAGTCCCATGACACCATCCCATTGATAAATTACTAAATATGGTATTTTTCTTCTTCTTTTTTTTTAACACAACTGCAGGTAAATACAAATAACCAGCATTAAAGCTGCTACAGCAAATTTGGAAAATATTAGCTTAAAACATTATTTTTCTTGCCTCTTAATGTTCTAATATAGTATAGCTGTAAATACATTGTGGAGGGGACGAAAACTTGCGTATTTACAACAGAACACCACTGGTGTCAGGTTCTCCACTCAATAATATCAGAGAAGAAGAAACAGCCGGCTGCTACCACTTCAACTTCAGGACATACTACCAGAGTCCCAAAAAGCAAAACACCGTTTGAATTTACGGAAAACAAAAGACTCTTGGACCTAGTAAACAGTGACTGGTGTTTAGCACCATCTTGTTTTCTCTGGCAACGTGGGTTTCTGATTCTGGCAGAAGCATCTAGGGGTGGGGTGTGTGTTCTGTGACCGTGTTCAAAACCTAGCTTGTTCTGTGGATTTGCTGTAGCAGCTTTAAAAGCTGAAGGGATAACATTTATTTTCATTTCTGAACTGGACGAAATGGAAAGATAATCATCCTTAAATCAGATAAATTCTAACAAAAAAGATGAGAAAAGGAGTGAAGGTGGTGTGATAATAACTGGGTTTGGTGAATGCTCTCAGTGATTTCCCATTGTTTAACTCACATATTGGATTTAAATAAAAATTGACGTCTGCGTGTGTTTTTGAGCTTCTTCTCACCGTCTCTTCTCTGAAGACGAAAATGTAAAGTCTGTCGTTCTGCAGACGGCCAATCGGAGCCCAGCACTGATGACCTCATGTCAGTCTCCAGGGGAGGTTGCCTCATACAAAGATCCATTTCTTCAATGTGCAAAAATGTGGATCTTAAGCTGCGATACACAAACCCTCCATGCAGACGTTCCTGATCAGTGCACTTCATTCATTCTGCACATCATCTTTGAAACGTTTGACACTTTTAGCTGTTTATTTGTTTCTGTTTTTGCAGCAACTACTGTAGAGCTGTGTCTCTTTCTGAGCTTTTATTATATAATCTGACTTTTGTGTCTTCAATCTGCTTGCCTCTGCTCTTTGACCCTGTGTAGATTTTGGATTTGGGAACTTCTTCCAGCCTGGAGAGCCTCTGGCCACATGGTGCGGCAGCCCGCCTTACGCAGCTCCTGAAGTCTTTGAAGGACAACAGTACGAGGGCCCGCAGCTGGACATCTGGGTAAGATGTCTGATTGCTTAAAGATCAAAAAACTCCTACAGGAAGTTGAACTTTCACCAGTCTGTGGTTGATTTATGGAGTGTTTCTGCCCTGACTTTGCTCCCTGCGTGTGTGTGTGTGGTTTCTAGAGTATGGGGGTGGTGCTGTATGTGCTGGTGTGTGGTGCGTTGCCCTTTGATGGGCCCACGCTGCCTGTGCTCCGACAGAGAGTCCTGGAAGGAAGGTTTCGCATCCCCTACTTCATGACTGAAGGTGAGGAGACACGGTCTTTGATCTGGGATTTAAAACACACATGAAGATAATGAAATCAAGTCCAAAACCTCACCCCGCCACTTTACAGTCTTATAAATGCACCCTCACTCTGCATATAAAAACATCATGTTTCAAGTGCCTTTGCTGGTCGGCTCTCGTGCAGCACCACAGTTGTTACCCGTAGAGCTTTGTGCTAATTTAAAGGGAATGCAGTACGGAGCACTCCCGTCGGTGTCGGCTGCAATTTTTGTTGGAGGGGTTGTGTGTGCACGCAGGCTGGAGAGTCAGTCAGGTTAACTGGGTGTCTCGCAGCATCCCTGCTGATTGCATTCATTCCTGCTTGCTGGCTGGAGATTAAGTCCAGAGCTGGAGCTGTTTATGTAACCTGGGAAAGAGCCAGCGAAGCCCTCCAGCTGCTCGTCCGTCCGTCCCTCTCAGAAGGCTTGGTGATTCTGTTTGAGTCATACTCCCATTGTGTGAGACGTCCTCCTGTCAGTCCGTGTCTCTCTAGGAATCTGATGTCTCCACTCAGGGTGTGGCGAGGACGTTTTTTAGTTTATTTATTTGGCAGCGAATGTAAAAGTGTAGTATCAGCACTTGGATCAGACTCCAGGTCCAACCCTCGTTCCCTGAACTTGGAGAACAGAGTGTGCTGATTTCTTCATCCAGAAACGTTCCACCTCATTTCTTCACGTTGATCTCGCCGCTAACACAGCCTTGCACCGTAGACTCTCACTGGAGCTTCCGATCACTGTTTACTCCGGATTTATTAACCCCAAATGTCATAGTCTACATCCGTTTCGAGCTTGATTACTTCTTTTTCCTGTCCGCAGTTTTGTTTTAAAGCTGCAATTTGTGTGAATTCTTTTAAATCCACATTGTGCAATGAAAAATTTGCACTTTTAACTCACTCCTGCTGCTGCTGCTGCTGCCCCCTTCCTGGAGGACACACTGCAACTCTACACCACTGGAGCGATACTCGTGTTCAGTGGGATGGTTTTGTGTTTAACTCACGGCGGTGTAAAGTTCTTTCTAAGAACAGCCTGTCAATCAGTGAGCCAGCCACGCGGCTTCACGGAGTCCGCTCCTTCCTGGTTAAGAGAGTTCAGCCTCAGCTGTGACCAGACCGAAGTGTGACGACGTTCTGGGTCAAGCCAGGTGTACGGGTGTTAAACTCTTGTTAGGAGCTGCTTTTGCCTCAGCAGCTCTCGCTGCTTGTAGGCCACGGTGTGAAGTGAAAGTACAACAAAAATAGGAAAACAAGCATTACTTAGAAGTAAAATGCTGTTAGTAGATCAGCGCTGTGAGTTGAAGAATGTGCAGCAGGGTGTTAATGTCAGCTGCTCGGTTTTTACTCAGTTAGTGGAAAATCAAGACGTTTCATGGTTATTTAACTTGGAACCCCAGTTTTGGTCTTTGAGACTAATACAAGGTGATATGAAGACGATTGGGGGATGTTACACAGCCCGTGTTCTCCAGACCCCACTTGTTTTGCTTTAAGACGGCAGCAGTGGAGTGAGTGGGCAAGAATGCAGGGTGCAGCCATGTCGCAGCGCTGCAGCCGCAGGAACTGTAATCCCGTTAAGATCCCAGCTGTGTCTGACGTCAAACTCATCAAGCCTCTAACTAGAGGTGAGCAGCTCTCATTAGCAAGGGAGGGAAAGTAGAAAAGAGTGTTCATGCTGTTCACAAGTGACGGCAGGAGCAAATAAGAAAGGAATGTCAGCTTTTACGTCCTTGAAGTGTAATTTCTGCTCCATCGATGCTAATTAGAAGATGTTTCTGAAATCACAGAAGCTCACCCTTCTCTTTGCAGACTGTGAGCATCTGATCCGCAGGATGTTGGTTCTGGACCCGTCCAAGCGTCTGTCTCTGGCCCAGATCAAGGAGCACAAGTGGATGCTGCTGGACGTCCCCGTGCAGAGACCAGTCCTTTACCAACAGTCTCTGTCCACTGAGGGCGAGACAGGTGTGGGAGAGTACAGCGAACAGGTGCTTCGCCTCATGCACAGCCTCGGCATCGACCAGCACAAGACTATCGAGGTAAAGGACCGAGCTGGAGCCATGAGACGGGTCCACCCACATTAAAGATGAGAAAAACAAGCTGTAAACACTGTAAACTACAACATAATCCACAAATTGTAGTTTCAGATCTCACACCAACACTTAGATCCAATAAATATAAATTCTTCTGTAATTATTTAATGAGAACAATCCAATAAAAATAGTTTGAGACTTTTATTTTTCCATCTTGCACCAATTTTTAATAATTCCTTATGCACATTTTCAGGAGTGTTGTTCTTTTACAGGTGTGTTTCTAACCCCGGACATCTCAAACTGGCAACGATTTGTAATAAACACAAATATTGAAATGATTTGTAAAAAAAAAAAAAAAAAAAGGTTGTATCTTTGTGTGTTGGTGTTCCACAAACCTGGCTGAGCTCATTTTAGGGCCAGAAGTGAAAAGTGTGCACCAATCAAAACGTGAATGAGCTGCAGACTTCCAAGAAATGGTGCAGTAATCATTTTAACAGGCTTCTTGAAAAGTATTTTGTTTTCTCAGATCCCAAAACAGATTAAATGTGTTCTGATTCCTCAGATTTCAGCGAGGTTAAAGCTTGATTTTAAAACGATCTTTATACCTCTGGAGTTAGACGTGTTCTTACTGAAGTACGCAGAGAAAAGTCTTAATAAAACCTGTGAGCTAATGTTTTTTCCTAAAGCTTGTTAGTTAAATCTGGAGTTCTCTGCATCATATTTACCTGTTTTTCAAAGACATTTGAACTTTTGCTTGTTCTGTTCAGCCAAGCGCTGACGGGCTGCCATTTATCAGCATGTTGCCATGTCTTTTAGCACCAAACCAGTGATTCTGTTTGCATCCACCCTCTAACCCAGGGATGATTAAAGAATTAAATGTCATCGAGACGAACGTGCTGTCACCGTTGAGGTGAACCCCGCTCTAACGCGACCGTTTGTCCTCCAGTCTCTGCAGAACAAGAGTTACAACCACTTTGCTGCTATATACTACCTGCTGGTGGAGCGGCTCAAGGCGCATCGCTGCAGCTTCCCTGTGGAGCAGCGGCTCGACGCGCGCCAGCGACGGCCCAGCACCATCGCTGAACAGACGGTCATCAAGGTAACGGGAAGTCTGCTGAATGCGATGTGCTGATTACGATCTGATCAAAGCTCCATTATTCACACCTGCACCCTGAAACAAACAAACAGAGGCGGCCGGATGATTCTTTTATTCATGTCTGCTGCGCTCTCTGGGAGGATTTCACAGCCCGCCTCGATCATTCACTGACATTGTTCTTCCTAATTTTCTGCTTCATAGTATCACATTAAAATGTATCATTTCTAAGGCTTTTTTTAAATTTCCCATTTGGAAGTTTATTATTATTTTCCCACAGTTTCACCACCGACGCCGTACATATCTCTCTTTTCCTCCTCCTCTACAGTCGACCAGCAGCTCAGCCCAGGTGGGTTTGCTCCCGCAGGGCATTCGGATGCTGCGTTCCCCCGCTGTTCCACAGACCTCCTCTGATGCTTGCACCTTCCCACAGTCTGTGTCTCTGCTGGAGCAGAATTTCATGGTGGAGGAGGTCAACACGCCCAAAGTAGGTCCAGCTCATGGAAACATGAACATGAATGGAAGTTCTGAGAGTTGTTGTGAGGTTCGCTTTGATGGCCTTGTTATGTAAATCAGGTGTGTGCGTGCGTGCGTGCGTGCGTGCGTGTGTGTGCGTGCGTGTGTTTACAGAACAGAGAGGTACATGTTATCTGCATGAATGGAGTCTGGTTATGTAAGCGGTCCTGTGATGATGAAGTGACCTTATGCAGAGCTGAGCAAACGCACACAGACAGGAAGCCGTTGCGCCACTCCTGCCATCTCGCCGCCCAGATGTCCCGCTCCTCTCAGCCAGCATCCGTCTCTCTCAGCATATGAGTGTTCTTTATGCTCTGGCTTTTCTATTGACTCTGCTCATTTAGTGTCAACTCTACCCTCTTATTGATCATCTAACTTTACTGTCCCCATATGACCTGCTCGGTGTGTGTGTGTGTGTGTGTGTGTGTGTGTGTGTGTGTGTGTGTGCGTGCGTGCGCGTGCGTGCGTGCGTGAAAGTTCATTAAGCCAATCAGAAAAAGTTTCCTGTATTAGGAACCCAGCAGGTTGCATCGAGTCACTGACACGAACTCCTGGTGTTTCTCTGGCTCCGGTCTGAAGACGTTTTCATCTGCTTGTGAATGCTGTCCAGAGTTCTCAGCCCTCTTATCACTTTACCTCATTTAGGTGAACGGCTGCTTGCTGGACCCCCTCCCTCCCACCACTGTCCTCCGCAAGTCCTCCACCTCGTCGCCTAGCAACATGATGGAGACATCGATCGACGAGGGCATTGAGACTGAGGAACCCGACACAGATGACGATCCAGCCCACCTGCTCTCAGCCTATCAGACGACTCGCTTTGGACAGCGGCGACACACCTTGTCAGAGGTCACCAACCAGCCAGGACCGTCCAACCAAGGTATGACATCACCCTTTGGGCTCTACTAAAAGCTAATCTGTTGTCTCGGTTACTGATTGACCTGAATGTTCCACCCCAGGTAAATTATTGGCTCTCGGCCACAATCCGTCTACGGGCAGCATGGACTCCGACATCGGCTACGACATGGGGTCTGCCCACAGCGAGCTGGGTCTCCTGGACGACACGCCCCCCTCCCTCAGTGAAGCGGGACAAACCAGCGGCTCTGCCTCCGGCTTCTCCCCGACTCCCTTCTTGATGGCAAGGCCCACCAACCCAGCAATGGCTGTCCTGGCCTCCCAGCACCGAGAGACACACAACCGCTCTCCCATCAGCTTCAGAGAAGGCCGGCGTGCCTCTGACACCTCCCTCACGCAAGGTCAGAACACATCGTATCTGGACTGGGGGGTTAACCACAACTATGGAAGAACGTGTTGAATCGGACACACTCTCTGTTGAGCAGCTCAGCCCACGACAGGATCGTTTGACACCGTGTGATTCCCGCCGCTTGTCTGTTGAATAGAATCAATTTAGCCAGTTTCTCTTGAGATGCCGCTTAAGGAGCTCACTGTCTGGGTTTGGAGGAGATGGGTGGAAAAAAATGCTTTGAAACGGCAGATCAAACACACATAAGTGTCTTCTGACGAGGCGCTCCGCCGCATGTCGCTGACGATCTGGGATCCGTGGCGGGGAAGTTTGATCGCCATGACAGGTGTACATGTCTTATGTATAATATGTGTGTGCGCAAGTGCCTCGTTGGCACCTTCTCGTTCCCACCTCCCCACTCCTCCTCCTGCTCCTTCACACACTTTTTTTCTCTTCCATGTCTTCCTGTGCTCTCTTCCCATCCCTCACCCTCTCACTGACGACAACAGCGGTGATGATTCACTTTGTGAATCAGACGCTCGTTTTGAAGGTTTCAGCCCACATCCCTCTCTGTCCCCAGCCCACCCCCCATCCTTCTTTTAACTTCTGTTTCTTCCTCCTCTCGCTGCCTTTCCTTTCTGAAGTTGCAGACAGGATCTCTGCCTCATGATTGTCACACGGAACGAGTCGGCGTGGAACAATCCCCGTCCACGTCCTTTGTGGCTGCGTGTTGAAAATCACCTGCACGTAAGCCGATCAGAACCGATAATTCAGTGTTTAAAAATACACCTCGCTCCCCGGCTCCACGCCAACGGGCTGCAGCGCGCTCCCAGTTGGTATTTGCACTTATTTATTTATTTTTCATAATCTTCTTTTGGAGGATGTTGATGCGGCGGATTCTTTTGCGTCAGGCTTGCTGACTCTGGTTTTAAATAACTCCCACCATCGCAGTGAGTCAGGCCCTATCGTTCACAGCCGCAGCTCGTCACCACTGGTCGGGTTTTATCAGGGCTGTTTGGAACACAGCTCACACACACACACACACACACACACACACACACACACACACACACACACACACAGCTGCAGAATGACGGGCACACACTAGTGACATACATCCAGTGACTGTCAGCAGGGGTGATGAAAAGCCTGCATGGTGCTAACATCAGCGAGGATTAAAGCTGGGCTTCTCTAAAAAGCAAATTTTATTCTGTTGTTAATTCTGACTGATGTGGGCGGGGCTTCTGCTCACAGGTCTGGTGGCGTTCCGGCAGCACCTCCAAAACCTGGCGAGGACCAAAGGGATCTTAGAGCTGAACAAAGTCCAGATGCTGGTGGAGCAGATGGGCTCGGGGGACGGTGCCCCTGGGGGCCCCCTGGGACCACAGCACCACTTGCACAACCTGATGGAGGTTGGTCTCACACACACACACACACACTCTCTCTCTCTCTCTCTCTGTCTCTCTCTCTCTCTCTCTGTCTCTCTCTCTCTCTCTCTCTCTCTCTCTCTCTCTCTCTCTCTCTCTCTCTCTCTCTCTCTCTCTGTGATCTCTCCCCAAACACTCATTCTCAGCTTCAGTTCTACTATTCTGATTTCATATTTGAGATTGAAAAAATAAAACACACACACACACACTCACTTGCACCGAGGCTGTTGTGTAACCCCAGGAGAGGCAGCCAACTGCAGCTTGTTTACTGTCTCTCGTCCCACTGGAGCTCGGAGTCTCGGCCAAAATGAATGCAGCCATTGTTGAAATCAGTCCGACTTGTCCCTAGTAGTGTCTAGAACTCTGATCACACACACACACACACACACACACACACACACACACACTGGGGACTATTTGAGGAACTAACTGTTGCTTCCCTGTAAACACAAAATAAATTAGCACAAGCAAGATGTCCTTGTTTTCTTTTTATTTTTGTTTGTTTTTCATTATTTTCCGTCCATCTCATAATGAAATGAAGCTGCACTTTGTTTGGTTATGCCCCTTGAAGCCGCATCATCCTTTTAATTATCTTCCATTCCATCTACCTAATGTGGAATCCCTCCGTGGCGTGCCCTTTAGGGAAAGGCATCTGCAGACATCGGGGGCAGGAGGACTCATTTAGACGACATGAGGCGCCCACGCCGCCGCGCGGCTTTATGAAGCGCCCTGCAGCTTCTGAGCGTTCTATTCCAATGCTGTATGTTTCTCATTGAAGGGTGAGGCTTGCAAGCAGCAGGAGGGCCTAGCTTTATACCCAGGTGAGCCCCGACCACCTCTGCTGTCCCGCAGACAGAGTCTGGAAACGCAGTACCTTACTCACCGATTGCAGGTACCGTTAACACGCTCACCCCGATGAGATTCAGCCAATCACAGGCTTACCTCTGATTCTGTGTCCTAATTCTACATGAACTCCGCTCAATATCTTAGAAATACTTGATTGCAGATGACTGTAGTAGTAATTTAGTCTCTTTTGCCTTGAAGACCAACCTGTTGGCTAACAGTCCAACTAGCTGTCAACTTTTCTGTAAGGAGACTCCTCGAAGTTTAGAGCAGCAGCTGCAGGAACACAGGTAACTCACTCTGCACCCCCACCTGTTGCTTCTTTTTTGTTTCGGGGGGGGGGGGGGGATACACACCACAGCCAGATGAGTTTGACAGTTCATCGCGATCAGTCATGTTTTTCTCCATTAAAACATTTTATGGCTGTAACATTTGCTTTGGAGCAACGACGAGTCTGTTTCCCCAGCTCTGATTGGTTTGGTTTCTTTTATATATATGATATTTTTTATTTGACTCCAAAAGGCAATATGTTAGAAAACATTTTCTACTTTTGGTGTTCAAATTCAATTCAGTTCAAATTCAAAAATACTTTATTAATCCCAGAGGGAAATTGATTATTGTTGGACTCTTGTGCTTGTTCTCCGTGTGAAGTGAAGATGTGCTCTCCCCCAGACTGAACCAGAAGAGGATGTTCCTGCAGCAGCAGTCTCAGGGCCTGGGCCTGCAGACCTACTTCAACCAGATGCAGATAGCTGAGAGCTCCTTCCCACCAGGCAGCCCTGCTCTGGACCTGGCGGCGTCACAGACTTCCCCTCAGGGCCCCCCCATGCCCACCTCCAGCCAGCCTCCGCCCCAGCAGCAGGGCAGTTCTCAGGCCTCCTCCCCCTTTAGCCTGAGCCCCCTTATTGAGCCAGGCGAGGTGGTTTTTGATCCCTACATGAGCCATCACCACTACACCCAACATCTGCCTCATGGAGCTCACCTCCACCACCAGCACCACCATCAGCAGCCTCTGGAGGCTTCCATCAGCAGCAGCCTGAGCTTCAGCTACCCCACAGGCTGTGAGCCTCTGGGGCCAGAGACCCTCCCATTGGACCAGTACGAGTTCCCCATGAACCCCGCCTTGCTGCCTCCTCCCGCCCCAGGAGAAGCTGGAGTTCTGGGCGGCTCGGGGCAGCCGGACACCCTAGGCATGCCTGAGCTGCAGGGCTCTCTCCTGGACAGCGAGATGATGGAGACGGTGGACTCGCAGCACGGCTTTGTCCTGGTCAACTGAAGCAGGCTGAATCCAGAGCAGTATTAAGCAATGGCAGCATGGAGAGCAGAAGGAACGGAGATGTAAGTGGAGGTCTGACGCGCCGCAACAAGGAAGGACATGTTCCCTTTTGTACAACTAATACAAACTTCATTTCTTAGTTGTGTAAAACCTCAACTTTTCTACCAAAATCCTCCCTTTCTCCTTCTGCTCCGAGGCAGAAATGGGCCCAGCGCACGGCGCGGCCGCTCTAGTCTGAGACTGCGCTGCGCCATCCTGCAGCAGGACGCAGCACGCCCTCCAGGCTGCAGCAGTTTGTCTAGAAAATAGTTTGAACTAATTTAGAAATGAATGAATTGCAACTAAAAGCACAAAAGCTGGCAGTGCTTCTTGTATTTCAGATGGAACTCGACGACCGACGGGTTCCTAAAATCACTTCTGTGGATGGAGAGATGCCCGAGCAAGTGACTGTAGCCCTCGTTTATCATGGTACTAGGAACATCACCACAAATCCAAGTGTGTGTGTGTGTGTGTGTGTGTGTGTGTGTGTGTGTGTGTGTGTGTGTGTGTGTGTGTGTGTGTGTGTGTGTGTGTGTGTGTGTGTGTGTGTGTGTGTGTGTGGTAACACACTATAATACACAGGCCGTCACCGTGATCCTGCATAAGTTACAACACTATCGCTTTAATAGCTTTGCCTCATCCGATACCCTAAAGGATGCTAGTTCTGTGCTGTTAGCAGATGAAGAAAGTTAGGAGAAACGTGCAGTTTGTGACTTTTTTTATTCATGATGTAACTACTGATGTCGTTGTTTTTTACACTACTGATTTCACACAGTTTCAATTTAAAGAATGAAGCGGATTACGAGGAGTTTTAGCAGGCGAGAAGGCCGCGCGTCGTTAGAACTGTGGGTCCTGATGAGTGAGGGCTGATGGGATGGAGAGCAGAGTTTCTGTGGCAATACCGAAGCAATATTAATCCTGAATGTGGAGGGAGTGGAAGCCTCACCCGCACGGCCAGCTCTGATTGGTTCCTGCAGACCTCTGAGGCGTCCACAGTGACATCACTGCAGCTGATGATGTAACCAGGAGATAATCCCATCAGTCATTTGCTCCAAAAAGTGCTGCGATTTGCCTGCAGCTGAAGAAGAAACGATTTTTTTATATAGCACCTCTAAATAAAAATCACAAGAATGAAAAATCCAAATTTAAAAAAATATTGTGATTTTTTATTTTTTTTAAATTTTTTGTTGATCTGTTAATGTTGAGATAATCTCACTTAAATGGGCTTTTGAGCAGCACCACTTCTCCTGAACGGTGTTTTTATTAGATGTTCAGGAGTTGGCTGGTTGTGATCTCAGATCCGGGATCTGTGAATGAATCTAGAACACAGCTAGTTTAATTTAACATCAAAGTTTAGACCTTTGCACAATATTTAAGTTCAAATATTCAGTTCCTAAAAACCAGATTTCCTCCCAGTCTGTAAAATATTTATTCCTAACAATGATTTTTGGTTTGCATCATCGCTGCTCCGGTCGTGTCTCTGAGCCGTTTCATGACTTGTGTTGATCTTTCTGACGATGTTGCTGCTGCTGTGAGACGAAGTCCAGCAGAACTTCAGTCCCTGGACACTGGATCTCTGCCGTTTTCTCACCTTTCTTTTTTTCTTTTGCCAGACAGCAACGGGACAAGATTTTTCTGTTTCCTTTGTTTTTACAGCATTTAGTCTGAGCTGAATCTAGCAGACAGAAGGAACTCCTCTCACAACAACAATAATAATGGAGATGCAGGTCTGATGTGGCTGACTCGGCATGCATCCAATCAGATTTTAGAGGAGTCTAAAAAAAACGTAGGAACAGGAAGAAAATGTGGACCAACTGTGCAAAATTTCTAAAGAAAAATCCACCCAGGAGGTTTTTTTTCCAGAATCATCTAGTGGTTATTTGTGCAAGCGGCTTTTATCGGTCTGCTTTATGGGACGTTAATGTCTGAGGGAGTCTTTTTGCTCTAATTCCTCTAAAATCTGCACACAACTCCAGCAGTGGCAGCCAGGCCTGTTGCACGACTGGTCTTGTCATTAGCTCCGCCCTCTGACCTCTGACCTACACAGCTGGATGTGCAGGTTTATACGGCATCATCCACTTTTACTTACTGGGAGTAGCTCACAACCAACTCGTGGGTCCACTAGAGAGGAAAATGAAATAATTAGGTTTAGCATTAAATCATCAGCACTGATGGTGTGTGTGTGTGTGTGTGTGTGTGTGTGTGTGTGTGTGTGTGTGTGTGTGTGTGTGTGTGTGTGTGTGTGTGTGTGTGTGTGTGTGTGTGTGTGTGTGTGTGTGTGTGTGTGTGTGTGTAATAGTAAATCTGCAGGATGATCTGTGGAAGTTGAATACTAGAGCACTTTGACATGAAGGGGAGATTGTAGCGCGAGAATCTTTAGGAAACCCTTTTCTTCTCTCCTCCTCCTCCCAAACAACGGACACGGACGTCTTTCAGAGAAAGACCACACGCAGAGACGCTTCATTAGATTGTTTGGTTCGACTCTACCTAAAAGTAGCACTTCTCAGTTTTATCATGAGTGTTTCTTTATGTGGAGCTGGAGTGGAGAGTCCTCGCTGAAACGTGTTCAGTGTGCCTTTTTACTTTTCCTATTTTCAGTCCGAGTTAAGACTTTCAATAAAATGAATATTTCTGCTTAGACCCATTTGTTTTTGATTACTTCTTGTCTGTGAGGTTTTTTTATTTTTATGTAAGTAGAGTCAGGTTTTACGAAGGTACCAAAGTCCCTCAAAGTATTCCCCGTACAACCCACCGTGTGGAGTTTTGGAACCGTTTGTTTTTCTTCCCTTGTTGGTCAATCAGTGTATGCCATTTAAAGTATTCTAGCAATATTTCTCTAGAAGACAAACGTTATGAAGATTCTAGTGGATGTGTTTCGAAGTATCATAATTTCACCTCCTGCTGATTAAAAAAAAAGTCAAATTGGTGGAAATCCTGTGTTTTTATTTCCCTTCATTGATGTTGACCACACATAAGCTAACTTGCTGTTGAGATTAAAAAGGTTTATTGAACAGAACAGTGTGTGTGTGTGTGAGTGTGTTTCTTTCTCCCGGCTATTGACAGCTGATCACACACCTGATTGATTGGGCCCCAGGGTTCTTCCGCGTGGGCCACCGATATACGGTGCGGTATGGGGGCCAAAATTAAGACTACTGCCCAGCAGCAGGAGGCTATATAAATTCCGAAGCAAACGACTCATCTGATTAATGATAAGCTGTCACCGGTAACTGAGGATGGTGCTTCTTACTGAGGAATAGCACCTTTACCGGCGTTACTACTAGATACGCTAAGGACTAGCAGCCCTCGGCTGGTCATTGACTGGTTCAAACACTCCCTCTGCTGTCTATTAGCATGGATAGGCTAGCGTTAGCCTGGAAGGGCTGGTGTTAGCATTGGAGAGGCTAGCCATTAGCGTGCCTAGGCATGCCACTAGCTGGATTTCCTACCTCCTCGACGGACCATTAGCATGGATAGAGTGGCATTAGCATCGGAGAGGCTAGCCATTAGCGTGCCTAGGCTGGCCACTAGCTGACTAATGACTCTCCGACTCATGCTAATGGCTAGCCTCTCCGACGTTAATGCCAGCCTATCCATGCTAATGGTCTGTCAAGGGGTAGGAAATCCAGCTAGTGGCATGCCTAGGCACGCTAATGGCTAGCCTCTCCAATGCTAACGCTAGCCTATCCAATCCAATCCAATCCAGTTTATTTATAAAGCACTTTACAAGACCCAGCACAGGAACAAAGTGCTGTACAGAAAGTACATTAAAACAATTGACTAGAAAGAAAACAGCAAAGATAAATAAAACACATGATACATAAAATTAAACTAGCCCTATATTAAAAATAAAAACTTGATAAAACTTGATAAAACCGCATTTGAATCACCTAAAACAGCTAAAATAAAATAAAAAATAGAAACCAACATCTCACAAGGTATTAAAAGCCAGGGTAAAGAGGTGTGTTTTCAGGAGTGCCTTAAAAGCAGATAAGGAACTGGCCTGTCTTATCTCTAAAGGAAGTTCGTTCCACAGTTTTGGGGCTGCAACAGCAAAAGCACGATCTCCTCTAAATTTACGCTCAGTCCTGGGTACAATCAGGAGCAGCTGATCAGCAGACCTGAGAGAGCGGGAGGGAGTGTAAGGCTGTATCAGATCAGAGAGATAAGAGGGGGCAAGGCCATGAAGACCTTTAAAAGCAAATAAAAGAATTTTAAAATGAATCCTAAAAGAAATGGGCAGCCAGTGAAGTGAAGCTAAAACAGGGGAAATGTGCTCAAACTTTCGAGTGCCAGTTAAAAGACGAGCTGCGGCATTTTGCACTCTCTGTAGCTGACTAATACATGATGCACTGACCCCAATGTAGAGTGCGTTACAGTAATCCAGCCGAGTGGTTACAAAGGCGTGGATCACTGTCTCAAAGTGCTGCCGTGAAAGAATTGGCTTTATTTTTGCCAGCTGCCTGAGGTGAAAGAAGCCAGATTTTACCACCGCCTTAATCTGATGTTCAAACTTCAGATCACAGTCCACTTTGACCCCCAAGTTGGTGACAGTTGGTTTAACAAACTGGGCCAAGGAATCTACAAACACATTGGGTGTCTCAGTAGGACTACCAAAAATCATCACCTCAGTCTTTTTATCATTGAATTTTAAAAAATTCACAGACATCCAAGCCTTTATGTCGTCAAGACACTGTAGTAATGGCTGTATGAGGTTTCTGCCTTTTTTCTTTAGAGGGACATAGATCTGACAGTCGTCAGCATACAAGTGGAAGGCAATGCCATGCTTTCTCAATATAGAACCGAGAGGAAGAAGATACAAAGAGAAGAGGAGGGGGCCTAGAACTGAGCCCTGCGGGACACCACACAAGAGCGGAGCGGAGGACGACACATAGTCACCGAGACTGACACAAAAAGTTCGCCCCGCCAAATAGGACCTGAACCACTCCAGAGCTGTGCCGCTAATGCCCACCCAGTGCTCTAAACGAGAGAATAAAACAGCATGATCCACAGTATCAAAAGCAGCTGTCAAATCTAAAAGCACAAGAACAACACAGTCCCCAGCATCAGTAGCTAAGTATATGTCATTAAAAACTTTTAAAAGGGCTGATTCAGTGCTGTGAAAGGGTTTAAAACCAGATTGGAAAACCTCTAATACATTTTGCTTTTCCAGGAAGGCCAATATTTGGCTATGAACTACCTTTTCAAGAATTTTAGAAAGAAACGGTAGTTTGGAGATAGGCCTGTAATTCGCAAGATCCTGCGGATCAAGAGCAGGTTTTTTAATCAGGGGTTTGACTACTGCATGTTTAAAATCTTTAGGGACAACGCCTGACCTCAGACTATGGTTTACCAGCTCAAGAACCAGAGGACCAACTGTAGGTATCACCTCTTTTAAAAGTCGAGGAGGAACAGCATCATTTGGAGACCCTGCAGGCTTAAGATGACCAACAGTCTCCTGTAGAGATGACAGAGTCACAGGCTCAAACCTGTCAAAGACAGCAGAGCAGGAAACAACGACTGAGGGGTCATGAGCACAAGGACAGATTTGAGCCCTTGTGGAGGAGACCTTCTCAATAAAGAAGAGTAACAAATTTTCACATGCTTCTAATGAGGGCTCAATAGAGTCAGCATATGGTGCACTAAGAACAGAGTTAATAGTTTTGAATAACACACGCGGGTTGTGGCAGTTAGACAAAATAATGTCCGAAAAGTGTTTTCTTTTGGCCTCTTTCACAGTTCTTTGATATTGACGCCAACAGTCCTTCAGCATCTGAAATGACACCTGTAGTTTGTCCTTTTTCCATTTGCGTTCAGCTCGACGGCAGTCGCGTCTGACAGCTCGGGTCATTTCGTTCAGCCAGGGCTCACATTTGGTTTTAGGCCGCCTGGTTTTTAATGGAGCCACAGTGTCCAAAGCAGTCCGACAGGTGGAATAAAACCAAGAGCTCAGATCATCAGTCTGGCTGCATAAAAAATCCGGGATCTGACAAATCTGGTTAAAGACTGTTGAAAAGTGCTCAGCAGTGGAGGAGTTAAAAACACGTCTGCACTGAGCAACAGCGCGAGGTTTAACTGAGGCACATACAAGAGGAACTTCAAACAACACAGGACTGTGGTCAGAAAACACAGCATCACAAATCTCTATGTTAAAACTAGGGAAGCCATGAGATAAAACAAGATCAAGTGTGTGTCCACGTTCATCCATGCTAATAGACAGCAGAGGGAGTGTGTGAACCAGTCAATGACCATCCGAGGGCTGCTAGTCCCTAGCGTATCTAGTAATAACACCGGTAAAGGTGCTATTCCTCAGTAAGCAGCACCAGCGTCTCAGTTACCGGTGCCAGCTTATCATTAATCAGGTCGGTAGTTTGCTTCAGAATTTATATAGCCTCCTGCTGCTGGGCAGTAGTCTTAATTTTGGCCCCCATACCGCGCCATACAGTTACCGACCTGGGAAAATGGCAAATGCTGACTTTTCCTTTTAAATCCTGGAATAAGAAGCAACTGAGGCGGACAAGTTTACATTGTAACAGAAATATTCATCACATCCTTTAGAGGTTATGCTTTATTGGTGTCCAGATCAACATTTCATAGATGAAAAAACTAGGATTGTTTTTACAGTCAGGAGCTGCAGCGATGCATATCTCTACATGTCTTTAATTAATCAAATTAACCTTAAGTGACTAGCTGACTGACGCTGCAGCAGACATGAGGATCCGCTTAGCAGGATGATAATCCAGTTATAACCCTGATCTAAAGAATTAGAGGGTAGTTTAATCTTTGTGACAGTAATATGTTTGTAAAGCTTCTATTTGTGCCGTATTTCCTTTGTGAAATCATAAATTGTACTTTTGAAGCTGCAGACATTAAACATCCATGAAATAAGGGAGCGGTACATGTATTGCTGCAGAAATGGAATGCAGCCTTTGTTAATATCTTCCTAAACGTCAAAATGTCAGACTGTAGAAAATACGAATGGCACAAAAATTTCAGTCACGTTTCGATTGATTTTTAAACAAGCTTGCAGAGGGGTTCCAGTGTGCAGCAGCACTGAAAGCAAAGCAGATAGTTGAGAATGAATCCATGCACCTTTTTGTAAAAAAAAAAAAAGACTGAACTCATCCTTGTGCATCAAACATTCACACTAGCCCTCTTTAGTTCAAGCAGCTGTGAAACACTGGAGTAATTTGCAGAGCTCCTTCATAAATCAGTGTTAACCTGCAGGAGGCACTGAATAATTCATCAGCAGTGAGAAAAAGAGAGGAAGTCTCTGCTCTCGTCTTATTCAGTCTCTCCATGACCATAAGTTTGTTTAGAAAACCTCCTGAAACTTGCCAATTAAATAAAAAAAAACATGCTGTGTGCTGATTGGTCAATGCACACAAGGCTGTGTGAGCACAGAGGCTTGTTCCTGATGTGTGGAAAGGATCAGGTAGACAACATGTCAGTCCAATCATCCCACTCAGACAGAGAACAGCTAATCCCACTGCTGCACCAGCTGAAGGGTGGTGGTGGTTGGAGGGGGGGGCTTGTTTCTTTTCCTGGGATGAGAGCGTGTGCACAGCACACTGTCAGTCTTTTACATTTATTTATTTAATAACATAAAACAAAGTAGTTTAAATCTAATTTGCACTTTAAAAAACAACAACCTTGCAACAGTCTCCCCTGCAAGACACCAGCACTTTCCATTGAAATGTAGTTATTTATAGCGCCCATGGGCTGAGATCTCCAGCAGGCTGTCACAGACACACTTTAGAGACGAGACAGGAGAAAGAACCCCCCCCCCCCCCCCCCGTGAGGGGCAGACAATGCTAATCGCAGTAAAATATCCCAATATCAGAGGCCCCTTTCACTCGTCGGGGCCAAAGTATACAGTAATGACATCAATGGTTGCCTTGGCAACCGGAGGATGGATGACAACATCCAGTAGATCACAGCACTGCTCGAGATGCACCGTGATGAAGAAGCAGAAAGAAAAAAAAATAAAGCAAGGAAGCATTTCACGTAAAAAGAGTAAATTGTGCAGAATGTGGGGATGGGTTGGAGCAGCTCCTCATCTGTAAGGTCACTCTACATTTTCTTGTCTCTGATATGCAGGGTGAACACACGCCGGCCAGCAGATGGACAGTCTGGAAATCCCAGCTCACATGACCCAGTAGTAGTGCCTGGAAAAATCCAAGGTCCCAGAGCCTCCTGGCTGGAAGTCAGAGCCAAACACACGCTGCTTGAGTGATCACCTGAAGGGAAGAGAGGGAAAACTTTCTTCTACAACAGATGAAACAATGGGAAGGATGATGAGGGGAGCTGACACAAGGTGACTTGAAACCACGCAGGCCGACATGGTTTCTGTCTCTGCCTGATTGTCATTTATCATCCTGAGTGGATCTGACCTCACTCTGTGTGTGTGTGTGTCATGCTGTGGGGGCTTTGCTTGACTCCTTTCATTATAAATGACACAGTCCTGGGAGGCAGCTGCATTGACGTCAAAGCTCTCAGCTCAGTGGAGGGCCGTAGCTGCTGAAAATTCCTCCAAATAACTGGATCTAAGTAGGTATCAGAAAGCTGCTGCTTTATGCCAGCCTGATGAGCTGGACTGGGTCTGAGGGGGTAATCAAGCTTTAATGAAAATAAATGTCCTCCTGCATCAGAATCATGAAATAAATTCTTTAGATTTGAGATTTCAGCTTTTTCTTATTTACTTTGCTGTCACTCTAACCTGTGTTACTATGTACATTTTAGGAAGCACGTACAGAAATCCTCACAGCCCAGCGCTTATTTTGCAGCTACGATCGAGGCAAAGGCAGGTGTCGTGAGTCAGGTCCAGCTCCACACACTTCACTCTGAACAGTCTAGAGAAGACTCGCTTTCATCTCCTCCGCAGCTGGCGACCAGGCCAGGACCTCAGGAACACATTTTCTTGGGGGTGTTTGCAGATAAACATGGTTATAAAGCAGAGTTCATTCTCATGCTGAGATGCTTGAAATAAGGTTTGATACTGAATGCTTGAAATAAGGTTTGATACTGAACTTGTTCACTTTCAGATGCAAATAAACCTAATCTGAGTAATTCGCCACAAATTAGCTAAACTTTAGACATTTCATGGCTCATCTACATCTGATGCTTTGAAATTCTGTGCAAAATATTTTTAATGTACCTTTGATATTAAACATCAAGAAACTGATTTTGCTGAGTCTTTTTCCTGACCTTTAACAGATTTTGTTTTGTGTCTTTATTCAGATCGTTACAGTAGAACAGCATCCTGACTGTTAACAGAACCCAAAACAAAAATCTAAAGCAAGGCGTTTGTGTTTACAGGACAATCGACAGTCGAGGTTTATTCAACAGAGACAGAATGAGAGGGAAGGGAAAGTGGAACATAAAGACAGGTTTCTATTATTAACAGACACCCTATAACAAGCTCAGCTGCTGCCCCGACCCGCTCCCTTTAAAGCAGGCATCGGCTCGCCGCTCATCAGCGGGCGAGCCGGAATTTAATAATAAAAAAAAATCAAAAATAAAGTGTCCCATCCTGAAAAGAATGAATGCTTCCTCTTTACCCAACAGGGTGGAGCAAAGAAACCCTGCAGCTCAGAAGCACTGGAGTAAAGCCAAGAATGCCCGCGGACTAGAACCGTACTTCCCACCGCTGCTCATCAACAGAACCATCAGGACGTAGAGGAGGATAATTACCAGCAATTTGCTAAAACTGGGTTGGTCCCCATTACACACTGGGCCAAGGATTTATTTGTCCGACCAATTCATTGTTACTGCAGAGAACAAACAGTGCAGGAGGACATGGTGGTCTGCTGGACAGAGTTGGGAAAGTACACAGCGAGACTAACAAGTACATGCGATCATCGCAAAGGTTCATCAGATTACGTGCAGCCATGGACGCGGCGCCCTGTTGTTTCTTTGTTAGGGCTTCGTACATCACAGTGCTGTGAAGCGTTCAGGAGACGCCGGGTCTTAATCGCTTTTCAGAGGAGTAACAACACTGTCAAGAGTTGATTCAGGAGGAAGCTTAGCTAAATAATCAGCTTGTTGCATCATTTGCTGCTGCAAGTTTCCATCCAGCAGAGCGGCCCGGGGCAGCACACAGCAAAGCTCAAGTACAAAACAGTTCCTTACAGGGAGAGGGAGGAATGTGAGGGGCTTGGGTCGGCAACGCCTAGCAAGTAGAGTAGCACATTAGTCTGCATGCACCCCGTCTTTCGGTTTGCTTGTAGAAAAGCACCCATTTACAGCAAGAGGACAGTTAGAAGCTGTGCTACGCCTGGACAGAAAAAACGTTGATGGTAGAACCATTGTGTGTTTTTTTATGTATTCATTTATTAAGACAAGCCCATTAGCTCCCAAAAGCTATTCTCTATACAATAACCAGTTATTACTGAACACCAATAAATATCTTGTAAAAGTGTGTGTGTGTGTGTGTGTGTGTGTGTGTGTGTGTGTGTGTGTGTGTGTGTGTGAGGGAGGGTCTCTGGTTCAGGGATGATGAGTCGGTTATGCTAGGGCCAGAACTGTGGAGAGGAGAAGACGGTTTATATTTTACGTTTTTAAAAAGAAACAAAAGACAATCAGAGCAACGAACAAGAAGAAAAGTCTCACCACTAATCGCCTCCTGAGCAAAGTACTTGACATCCATGTCCGTGTCGGAGGCGAGCTTCTCCAGCACGGGCTTCACTTCTGTTTGCAGGGCACTAAAACAAAAACAAACCGTCAGAGCTGCTTCTGAAGCTCAGAACCAACGAGGACACGACGGAGGACATACTTGCTGTCCAGGACCGGTCCGATCTTCTGAAGTGACTTGGCCACATTGAAGCGTACGTTGGCCACCTGGTCGTTGGACATCTTCAGGACCACTGGCAGCATCTGTTTAGTGGTGATGTCCTGGCCGCAGGCCTCTGACAAAGCCTAAAGAAGAACACGGACACGGGCGTTTATGCAACGATGGGCCTAAACGTACGCAGCAGCGTGTTAGAAGCAGCAGTCGGCTCACGTTGATGCAGAACAGAGTGGTCATCCTGTGGAGGTAATTGGGGTCGTTGGCCATTCCCAGCACTTTGGGTACAATGGTGTTCTGAGCCCACTCAGCTCCAAACTTCTCCACCAGCTTCGTTAGGTTAGACGTGGCAGCCTCACGGATGGCATACACTAAAATTAAAAACTTGTTTATTGATCAGCTCCTTGCTTCTAATTGTAGAAAATTAAAATGGTTATTGACCTCATACTAATAATAAATAAACACTAAGAGTTTTAATTCCCCATCAGCCTCCACTAGACTGAGCTGCTTTATTCTGTCAGTTATGATAAAATCATGTGGTTAATAAAACGATACAAAGACTTCTCTTAGCATGAGGGGGTGAGTCATGCGGTCCGGTCTGTCTTTGAAAGGCTTACGTAAGGATGGCACAGCCCTAACCCAAGCTATTCACACACACAGAAACTCACACCAACAGCATTCCGATGATGTAACCCAGCTGGCCCTTTGTCCCCGTCGCTGGGAATGTGCCTCTCTAATTGGAAAACTCAATGTCAAGAGAACGAGGCATGCACAGGGAAGAGTTAGGAAATGCTGCACGGTGTGTTCACACACTTTCCTGGGACCCGAATGTGGGCGATGACTCGGCAAAAACGCTTTAGATCTCTGGGGGAGCTGCTTGGACTGATCCAAGTGGGGGTTTAAAATCCTAAAAATAATAATAGCAACAAATCTTGGTGTGTGAACTTGAATAGGCGCCTACAAGACTTAACGTGCACCGAAAACACGTCTGCCTCCGTTTCAGGTGAGAGTGAACAACGATGATAGACATGTTTTATTACCAGATGAAGTTGTAGTTACAGAAATCTAATAAAAATTAAGCTGGTGTCGTGTTACGACTCCAAAGAGCCTCACCGTGATCGATGAGCCAGGCCATACAGAGGGTGTTCAGCTTCTCGTCAAAGAACTCCACTCCCTGACAAAAGAGGCGAGAAAGTGAGATCACATTTTAAATATCTGGTGTCACACCAGATCTCAACAGTGGCACGAGTTTTTATTTGTGCTGTACACAGTGTGACTCACCAGCTGTCCTGCCAACAAAGGCATGTATTCTATGATAGCTAGGCGAACCCGCCACTTTGCGTCCTCAGCCAGCTCAACGATGGCGGGCAGCAGCGACTGGGAGAGCTGGCGGATGCCGATCACCTCGTTCACACAGTCCAGGTTGGAGATGATGTTGAGACGCACCTCGGGACACTGGGAGGAAAATGTGAACTGAGTGTGATAGCACACTGACCTAACGTAGACAGGACTGCTACAGTAGCTGTAAAACCAGAGTACGTGGGGTAAGGTATGAAACACTCAGATGAATGCAGCTGGGACGGTCAGAAGCGTGATCTGATCAGACACTCTTGGTCTGATGTTTGAGGAAAACGGGCCGTCTTTAAATAGGACCAAGAAACAGCAGAAGGGAAACACCTTTGTGCCCAACCTTCCAAACACCCATCACCTCTTGGATAAACTGCCTAAACTCCTACCAAGCTGCCCCCTAGACCCACTCAGCCCTCCAGCTGGGCCTCGGTCTGACTGAGTCCTCCTCCCACCCCTCCAGGTGGCACTCAGGTACATCTGGTGGCTTTTTGCAGAAGTACAGAAAACCACAAAAGCTTGGTAAAATGCATCTCTTTAAACGTTTGTGTGAATCATCTTTTTCAAAGGCAGTGGAGAAAAAACAACAACTATTATCAAAGCCCAGAATAGTTTTCTCCCGTTTGGTTACCTCGTCTTTGAGCTGAGTCAGGAAGAGAGGCAGTAAGTGCTCTATTGTGTTGTCCTTGCCCAGGATGGTGGAAAGGCCCATAATGACTGAAGCCAGGGCTGACTTCACATGCTGGTTGGTGTCTGAAACCAGTTCCTGGTTGGAGAAGGGAAACAAAGACAACAGAAGGATAATTAGGAAGAATGGTGAACAAATGTTAAATAAATAATAAAACACACCACAAAGAGGAAGGACAGTCCTGACTTGTGTCTAAATGCAGAACAAAAAGTGAATTCACGGCAGCTCACACGGCTCTGTGTGACCTTTTATTTGCCCTACAACACAGGTGTTTCTACCTGTAGAGCTGAGTTCCAGCTTTATGTCGGCAGAATAAAAAGGAAACTCTTTGACCTGATTTGGAAGCTTAAAAAATGTGTAAAGTTTAAAACACAACAGGAAATCAACCCAAACCATTAAACTCATTACTATTTACCTACAAATAATGGCACAACTTCAACTATGAAGCACTAGGACTTAGGGCTGCTCAATTAATCGAATTTTAATCACGATTACGATCTGAGTTTTGAACGATTATACAAACAAAACAAGATGATTATTTGCTCCTCCCACTTGCGCTGCCCTGAGTTGCAAATGAAGCGCTCCGCCCACAGTGTTGCCAGCTTGGCGACTTTGACGCTATTTCCAACAGCGTTTCAGACCCCCTTCCTGACTTTTTAAATCTTAAAAGTACCTGGCGAACACCTCAGAAACATCTCTGGTAACCCTTAGCTACTTTCTGTATAACTGTCGTCGACATTTCCTGCAGGTTAGCTAAACACTCCGCCTGTGCTCCGGGCCGTTCTTCACAACATTAGGAAAGGGAATGATGTAGTGATGTGTCGGTCGCTAAAGAAACAGCTCTCGGAGCGGCTCCCTGTTGGAGTAACCAGAGTGAGTGACACACACACCGCATCTGCGGGCTCCTGAGCCACTAAAAACGGCTAAATGTGCGTGTGCGGCGCGCTAAACACACGTGCAGCTTGCCACTGATTGCTGTGAGACCGGGTTGGGGGTTGGGGGGTGCAGCTGTGGTTGGGACAATTATTACATTAACTGATGGACTTGTAAATAAATAGTTTATCAATAATGTAGAAATAAGTTCCTCACGCTGATAACTAATAACTAACCTCTCTGAGGACACAGTGCTAGTGCACTCTCCTACAGCACCTCGACACGACTAAATAAATGTTATGCAACATTTTGTGAACATCAATTTATTTGCATTTATTTGTTATAAATGCCACTGTATAATTCTTGCTGTCAGTATTTGCAAGATATTGGTATTTGGGTCTGTACTGGTTAGACTTAAATGAGTTAAACCAAGGTCTATAGCCCTTGGGTCGTAGGCTATGAGCTATAAGTATATTGGTCTTTTTATACTTGGAATCAGGAGTTATTTTAGTGATCATCTTGTTTCCTATTTATTTTGTCCTGATTGAGCCCTGAGCAATTTTATGACTGAATAAAAACCAATAAAATCAACATAAATTGAAAAATCGTCTTAAATGATCGAGATCTTAATTTCAGTCACCATAATCGTGATTATTATTTTTGCCATAATCAAGCAGCCCTACTAGGACTTAACTTACATTTCTCAAAAACCAACAGCGCCACCTGCTGTTTAAACTCCAACCAGCACCGGCAGATGACGCCTTTCCCACAACAACCCAGCAGATAGTGTTCAGTAGTTTTCAATATGGAACAACAGGAAGTGGTGGAGAGCTTGTCGATTGTACAAAACCATCATAAAACCTTTTTCAGGCAGCAGTTTCCTGTGTCTGAGTGGCTCAACAATGACATTGATATGAAAGAACATAATGTTCAAACCTTTAGTGTTTTACGTTTGGAGATCTGAACATAGTTCGATAACTTAGCAATAGTATAGCTAAATAAATCACACGCAGTGTGTAGAAACCGGACTACTATGAGGAGCTCTGTAACAGGTTTAATTCTGGTTCGCCGCTTCCAACTTGAAAAAATTAACCAAATGCTGTGAACTTTGCTGTCCTGTTATAAAAGTAAGAATCACCAGCTGCAGCTCTGAACCATTATCCTGTTAGAGAGACCCACAGCAGCAGCAGCAGCGTTCGGCCAGTCTAAAGCCCAGAATGGGGACACGGTGAGCAAATCACACCTACAGTGAAATCTGAGACAGCTGCTTAGCTAGATGTAGAAGCACAACGTCTCTGACACATTATGTAATGAGTAACCCAGACACTCGCACTAAAGAATGTAGCTACAGAGCAAGTTTAGTCCTGCAGACATAAAATAAACTCACTGATCTGACTGATCATCCTAAAGACAACTCCACATTTGCTGTGGTCTCTAGTACAAATGAATGTCTTCTGAGTCGTTCAGCTTCAGAAACTAAAAGTGGGCCGGAGCAGAACTCTGCAGGTTTTAGAGTCTCACTTATTCTGACCTCTGGTAAACGGCCTGTATTTGATATAGCGCCTTCTAGAGTCCTGGAACCCCTCAAGGCGCTTTACAACACAATCTGTCGTTCACCCATTCACACCCTGGTGGGGATGAGCTACGATGTAGCCACAACTGCCCTGGGGCGCACTGACAGAGGCGAGGCTCCTGGGCACTGGCACCACCCGTCCCTTCGACCACCACCAGCAGGCAAGGAGGGTTAAGTATCTCTTGCCCAAGGACACGATGACAGCGACAGAGTGAGCGGGGCTCGAACCTTCAACATTCCGATTACGAGGCGAGCACTTAACTCCTGTGCCATCCTTCTCTCCTCTGATTGGCTAACAGAATCACAACTCTACCTCTGACTCTGCTTGCAACGCTGAAGTTTCATCTCCACAAACAACACACGCCTGAAGGAGCTCTGCTGTGTCGTGGAGTTGCTAAAGCTAACGATTAGCTTCTAATAGAAAGACGTGCTCTGCTCTCTCCTGGATGTTAAATCAACAACAGTCTACCCCGTCATGAACGTTATCAGCAATTAATTCAGGAAATGGGTAGAAGACTATTTTCACATTTCGGCTGAATGTGAATCTCAGAGTGATATTTAAAAAGATGTGAGTAGTAAACTTTCTCTTTAATAATGAAGAAAAGCCAAATTGTGAAGCCAGCAGCTATTCAACTAAATAATAAAAGTTTGGTCTCCAAAATTGGCGATCTGTAACAGAAGTCTATAGGATTGTTGAGTATTAAGCCTGATTCCTGCTTCTCTGTCAGCTCTAACAGGGAGAGACACGCACGCACAGAGATGTTTTGCTCTCACACTTCTCCGTCTCCTGGAGAGTGTTGCAAAGCAATTCCCCGGCAGGACAACAGAGGGCGTAGCGCTGTTCTGTGGTATCCTGTCATGTATCGGTCCAAGATCGTGTGTTTATATTGTGTTTTGTGTATATAAGAGACTTTTTAACACGGACACATTTGTCTCTCATCCTCCTCCACCGCTTCATGCGCTCCCCACCTCTAAACCCACGTTTCCTGTCATTTCCGTCCACAAATAAAACGCTTGCTGCGCATCTTTTCACTCCTCCAGTCACGGGGAATTAAACGTTTATGATTTTAGAGTTTTTTCGTGAGGTATTCTTCAAGCATCTCTGTGTCTGCCGCTAGTTATCCTCGGCTCTTTTTATGTTTTTGAGGGCGCAATGGCGGCGGTGTAGACGACAGCGGCGTCCTGACCAATCACAAGCTTGCGTTCTCCGTCTCGACAGACGGATGTTTAGAAAAGAGAGCTGTGCAGCTCTCCAGCAGGCCCGCGAGGACGGATAATGGCGTTGCGTGTCTCCGCACTGACGCAGACGAAGCATGAATCAGGCTTTACTGCACATCCTTCCACATTTTTACAAAAAAATCATTTCCACAAGCACACAAACACTCCATAAATGAAAAGCTAAACTAAGACAAACCTTCTCCCAACTCATGCTGTTAACCACAGAGAGCCATTCAAAGAGCCTCTGGTGAAGCAGCAGAGAAACGTCACAAAATGGTGGACAGAAAAACATTAATACAGTTTTACCTTGACACAGGGCAGAATGTGAGTCATGATGATTTGCTCGCGATTGTCCTCGGGGAGGTTCTCACAGAATTCTAATCATAAAAACAAAAATCAGACAACTTGGAACAGAAACTAATTTACTTCAGGTGTAAGCCTCACTCACCTTTGACCTTGTTAGCAGCTGCAGCACGAACCTCGGCTTCACAATCTTTCAGAAGATTTTGAAAAGCTGGGACCAAGTCATTTTTAGTGATCTCTGGACCGACTGCTTTCTGGAGCTACGTCGAAGGAAAAAACAAAACAAGTTTGAACTAAATGAGTGGAAAGTAGAAAAGCAACAAACTTAAGCTAAAATACAACTAGACTATAACACTATAAACACTTAAACTTGACTTACTGAAGCTCTTTAACTCATTAAATGCCAATGACGACTAAAGTCCCAGCTCTAAAACCGATCATCCGCGTACGTCACACAACACGTGACCAGGAAGCAGAAAATCCATGTGTTAGGAGATCATTTTGGGCCGCTGCTGTAAAAAAAAAGTGAGGCGAGAACCGGAGAAGCTTCTGCCGATCGCAATTCGACAACGGGTTATGAAAGAATGGATAACGCTCGAATCACACGGATTCTTCCTGATGTAAGACGTGAGTCCACTCTTTGTTTTGGTAGTTTTGGCGCTGACATCATCATAGAGCGCAACGTTCTGTGACTCTAAAAAAAAAACTGTGAAAACGCAGAAAACATTGGCAGCGAAGGGCTTTTCTGATCAGGAAACAGCTGGCAGTGAATGAGTTAAAAAAACATCAAAGTAAATGACTGGATGAAGGTTTTTATCACTGACTGGATCAATAACATCAAGTATGTTGTCATCTTCAGTTTTGAAGTATAAACACTATCGATGTAATCCCTAAAAACAAAGACGCGTGATGACATCATTTAAGACGCAAGAGTTAATTGAAAGTCTTGGGCTTTCTAACACCACACATTTAATCCTAAATAATGAACAGGTCCAACATTGATCTGTAATACTTTACATTTCTTTTCTGCTACAGATCGTGGGAGCTGTGTGTGTTTGATGTTGAATAATCCAGTTAATCTAAAAGACCTAGCAGCAACATGTCTTTTGTTAGGGGAGGCAGTCTTCAGTTTACCTCAGAAAACTTGTCAGCCACCATATAACGAACCCTCCACGACTTATCTTCTGCAGCCTGGCGCAGAGTTGGCATCACCAGTGTCTCCAGGTCTTCCTGTGGCAGGAGAGTGGCAATGCTGACACAAGCCTCCACTGCAAGCAGCCGCACTGAGTCCTGATGGAGACAAATCCATATGATCAAAGAAACCAGAGTAAGACAGTCAAACAAAAACTTTCAAGAAGAATGCATCGTTGTACCTGCTCATCTGAAGCCAGAGAAGTGAAGAGAGGAATAATGTCAGTTTTTACATAATCCAGCTCCAAGACTTTAGCAAACTCTCCCAGTTTGGATGCTGCAGCACGACGCACCATAGGAGTGTCATCGGAGCACAAGGTGCGAAAATGCCTGGCAATTGTAAACTTGGGTTAAAAACATGCTTTTTGCACCATCATCACTAAAGTCTGTTCTCTTGCACACATTATAAAGCAGCTAAAACAATGGTTTCCTTTAAAATCCACTTACTGGCGAATTTCAGCCTTGACCGTGCTGGACACGCGAGGATAACACACACTAAACAAGCCACAGGCGGAGGTGCGAGAGGTGAACCAGTCACCACTGGCCAGCCGCTTCACCAGTGGCTCAAAATGAACCTCCAGGTCAACTGGAGAGTGCTCCTGAGAGATCTTCCGCAGGGATTCCACGGCTTTGTCTCGAACTACCGTCTCTTCCACCGTGGCAAGACTCTCCAAAGGGGGCTGAGTATTAAGAAGGAACGAAGTTAGCTAGTCTCTCTGCAAAAAACGAAATGACCAACAATCTCTGCTCCTCATCAAAGCGGCTTCATTTTTCTCAGTTAAAACATCACACCTTCTCATCGTGTTTCCTGATTTCGAACCTTCTGGCATCATGTCAGTTTTAGGGTTGTCACGGTAACCAGCGTAGCGTTAAACCCCGGTAAAAAAGTTGACAATAATAATAACAGTCTTGATTAAAAAAAAATAAATATCTCGGTGGATTACCGTGGCTGCGGTGTAGGCGTGGTGACCCTTACCAGCCACCGTATCATCTGCTGAAGTTGCCGGCCGCACATGCGCACTGTTGTTGTTTACAACCAAAACTTTTTTGAAGCTAAAGCTGAAATAATGGCCAAAGGAGGAGACGGGAGCGCTCAGGACATTTATTATCCCTCAAAGAAGACAAAGTCAGAAGTACGGGCATTTGTTGGACTTTTGAAGAATGCCGAGGGACGGTTGATAGAAGACGGCTATCCTGTTTGCAGCACGTGCAGAAAAAGTGTCTGTGAAAGGCAGCAACGCTTCAAATCTCCTGACACATCTGCGTGACCACCACCCACAACTCTACAGTCAACGTAAGGCAAGTTAACGTTAGCGTTTTAGCTAAAATGCGTGATCCGAGGATTTGTGTTGAGGGAGAATGCAACGAGTCGCTATATAAAGCAGCCGCAGCGCCGCTACCTGCATATAAACCGTGTCACGGACTAGAGGTGTGAATCTGCACTTGTCTCCCGATTCGATTACAATTATTGGGTTAACGATTCAATTTGATTCGATATCCCGATACATCACGATTATTTCTTATTGATTTGTTTTCATCAATAAAAAGATGTCAGATAATTGCTTTTTATTTTTTAGTCAAAAACGTAATTGACACAACCTGCCATCCCTCAAAAGCTCTCCATTCCCAACAGGTTAGGACAAAACATTTTAAACATTTAAGAAGATTTAACAAAGTAAAACCATCCGTTTCCTCGTTCAACACCACGCCTCAGGCTGAGAAAAACACGCTTTGCAAAAACTCACAAAATCTCAAAAAGTACTGAAAACCTACAGGACACATAATGTAATAATAAAATACATAATGGGTTCATATATGAGTGTTTAATGTCTCTGAGCAACTTTAGAGTCAAATATGTATGCCACAGTTGAAGGGTGTCAGAAATAAGACCAAATGAAATGTTTGACTAGTTTGTTATTTTATTTGAACCCAGTGGTTCATTTCTGAAATGTTGGAGAATGAATCAAGTTCTGTTTGTTGCAGAAAATAATAAAACAAATTCTACACTTCCAATAATATTTAAGATGTGTGTTTTATTCTTTGTGATAATAACACCAGCAGAAGGCTGTGGGCTGGATTAGGATTAAATTACCCAGCTGATGGATCTCCTTCACTAACCAGCTAACTACAAACCTTTCCACTAACTGTCCTGTGTTACTCTCACCATGTGACCCTCATGTCCACGCTGTCTCTGGAGGAGCAGATAGGAAACAAGATCTCCTGTAATCTAAAAAGAACCAAAGCTTCCTCCCAGTGTTTTAAAATCGAATTTAACATCAGTTCATCTTCATGAAACAAAAGAATAAAGTGGAACAAAAACTTCTATTTCTCTCTCCTTAACTCCTCTGTGTCCCTAAATAAAAGAGACAGGCGATCACGCTGCAGCCGCCGTCATTAACCCCGCCCCCTCCCCAAGACAGGATCTCCCTACATCACAACACTCGGTCTGACTGAGCGCTTCCAGGAGAAATAATTATTAAATAATGAAAATAATAATGCGCGTTTGGAGGAGCGTCCTTCGATCCTCTCTGTTGTGTGAGCAGACAGTGACTCTCTCTCTCTCTCTCTCAGTCGCTGATTGAGCGAACGGAGCGCGCCGCATGACAACCCGCTCAATTAACATAATTCACGGCCCAAATCCAACAGAACCGGTCAGGCTGATTCGGTTCCGGTTCGGTCTCAGGTTACAACTCCAGCGCTCAGCTCTGCAGTACCACATTAAGGCGGAGGTAAATGTGGAGGACGCTCACTCTGACAGATTTGGATGCGGCGCTGGTGCCGCTGTTAAAAAAACAAAACTACATTCCACTATAATCGATTATGGCGTACTCTTCTATGATGCAGAATCGTTTATGTCCGCATCACCATGCATCGATTATTTGATTATTTTCCTCAGCTCTATCGCGGACACCCCCATATTGAAATGACGCTATGCATTACGGGGCTCCCAGGGGCAGATAAGAGTTGGTCTCTCTCCGAGAATAATTATGAATTTAACAACGATTACTGCCTGATGACATTTTCCCACATCTGCAAAGCTCACTGGAAGGACACAAACCGAGGACAATATTTTCCTGATATAGGGTTTATTACTCAAGTAAGGGTAAAAAAAGGTATCTGATTAGAAGGCTACTTGAGTACTGAGTATCATCTGATCTAATATTTTTAAAATGATGACATCAAACAGACAAAAAATAAGAAGTTATGTGCAAATATTGCTATTTTAAAGACTAAAGGGGAAAAATGTAAACAAATAAATAACATAATTACAAAATAACAAATTTTAGGCAACATTTAGACACAAATTGAGGACAATATTTTCCTGATATGCAGGGTTTATTTAGTTGTGTAAAAATGTAACATGTTTTAAAAAAAAATACTGCGATAACACCGAAAACCGTGATAATTTTGGTCACAATAACCGTGAGGTTAAATTTTCACACCATGACAACCCTAGTCAGTTTTAACGATGACAAAACAAAGCAGGCTGACATTTATTGCAAGTTAGAAAAATAGGTTAGAGATTGAAACCCATTAAATCATAGATAACGTTTTTAATAAGACATCTGTGATAAATTAGGCTTCTAGAAAGGATGTCCCATTTGAAATGGCGTTGTTTAACCCCCTACTGCTTTTGACACAGTTGTGGGGACACATGAATGACATAAATGCAGGAAAAATGAGAAAGAAAGCAACCTTAAAACAGTTACACTTACCAAGAGACAGTGGACATACTCCGGCCCTCCCACCAACATAGTGAAATTGCCGAGCTGCTCAGCCAGTGCCAAAAGCACCTCATCTTCATCGTAGATGGTGTCTAAAGAATGACAAAAAAATTATTTTAAATGAGAAAAAATGTTTTGGAATTCAGTGCAAACTACAGAGCTGACATATGACCTGTGAGGAAAGGTAGAAGTTCTGTACGAGTCCTCTCTACGCCCAGAGCTAAAGCAATTGTGGACAGCTTCTTGATGCTGTTTAGACGTAACTGTACAGACACAACACACACAATAAGCATTAGTACACAGTAAATGTTCAACACATTTAACTACCTGGGTGTGTGAATCAGACTGGTAAAATGATGATTAAAATATACAGAATATGCTAGAAGCAGATTGACCGTTGCTGCTGTGCTGATCATCATAAAATGCGTTAGAAGCACTGAAAAGCTTCCAGTCTTAACTCAAAACCACAAATATAAACATCCAGTTTACATTACCAGGGGAGAAATTATGATACTCGGTTAACTTAACTCACTACAGAGGTGAACCTTGTTTATTTGAGCCCAGTTTCAATGTTATGTGGTTCTGATAGCTGCTAGCGACGCACTAATGCTAGCGGCTAAACCAAAAACCTACTGGTATTGCCCAAACGTGATCAACATTACATAATGACTAAGTTATCAATCATAGTACCAAAATCTAAACAAAATAATAATCTTAGTTCTGGAATATCAACTACCGTCTAAAATGTTTAAAAAAAATGTAAAAAGATTATTCAAGCAGGGTGCGCCCGACAGGCCTTAGCCAGTTAGCGTATCGGCTAAGATACCAAGTAGCATTAACACGCCGGGCCAAATAAATGTATCTAATGTTGTATAATATAAATACGACTTTAAACATAGCCCACGTATACAACCTGAACGTCTTCATTTCGCAGTTCATCAATGAGAACGGCGATAGGATAAAGAGAGTCGTCTCCATCAGCTCCTGCCATTTTGGATACTGTTGCAGTTACCGAATGGCGCTGCTATGCGGCACTACGGGGTTTCTGCCTGAGAACAGCAGCTGCAGGGTCCAACCTCCTCCGCTGATGATGCGTTCATGGAAACACAGAGAAAATACTTATCTCTGAATTCAACACTTGATATAAATAGTACCCATACATCTAAGTTTAAAATAATAAATGGCACTTCATATTTAACGTCTGTTAACATAAATGCAGTGTTATCAGATGCAGTTTGAATCATAATTGAGTATCCCATATAATAATTAGCCTGCCTACCTAAATATTAAAATTGCTGCAACCTTTACCTAAAACAATGCAGTCATAAACAATTATAAAAGCTGTTGGTTTTGTAAGAAAAGATTAATAAAAACAGAAATAATTCACAAATACAGGAATTGTGAATGACGCATGTGGTCATAAGGATTTTATTTTGAAATAAAAAGAACCGGAAATTGAACTACAAAAATATCCCTTGATGATAAAGATGGCGTCGCAGCAGCAACAGCCCGGCGGAACGATGTCTCAACCCGGATTACAACAAGCTGCTTCAATTCAGCAACAACAACAGCAACTTAGTCAACAGCAAGACTTTGATCCTGTTCATAAATTTAAGATGTTAATTCCACAGCTGAAGGAGAGTCTGCAGGTAAACAACACGCCGCATCAAGCTAGCTGTCAATATGAACAATGGATGAAGTTAGTCTGCCTCCTTTAATATAATTATTCTTTTTAAATATATATATTCAGAATTTAATGAAAATCGCAGCCCTGAATTTGGCCCATAACACTTCAATTGACAACGGCATGTAAGTACTCTGTTTTTGATGTTTTATTTGGATAAATGATCCTTGTCTTTCTTTTAAACATAAATAACATTGTGTCTTTTTGTTCAGTAAGAGCAGCGACACCTCTGTTCAGCGTTTTGACAAGAGCTTGGAGGAGTTTTACGCTCTTTGTGATCAAGTAGAGCTGTGTTTGGTAAGGCCTAGCTTAGACATCACATTGACAATTGATATTACTTGTTTATTCTTTGTAATAATTCATGGATTAACTATTTTCAAACAAAATAAATCTGAAAATAAACAATCTAAATCTAGAATAATTATGCTATTTGCTTGTTATTTTTGTAATGACATGAGATATGCATGAGTCTTTTCCTAACATAGTAAAAAGCACCGCACATAAATTGGGTTTTCTGGAGAAATTGTAGATTTTGATAAATGACATACTTCTACATTTCTAGTTGTAATTATTGAATGAAAATTTGCTGGATCCATTTATAGCTTTCTCATCTTTCTGCAGCGCCTGGCGTACGAGTGCCTTTCGCAGAGTATTGACAGTGCCAAACATTCACCCAACCTGGTTCCGACAGCCACCAAGCCAGACACGGGGCAGACAGAATCCATGTCTTATGCCCACTACCTCAGCATGATCAAATCTCAGATCTCTTGTGCTAAAGATATCCACAACGCTTTACTGGAATGCGCCAAGAAGATCGCAGGGAAGGGGCAGCCTCAGGGGCTCATGTAGACCCAATCCATCCAACCTTTACAATATTTTTGCATCTCAAAACAAGTCAGTACGACTTTAACTCATTTTGAAGCTCTCTTTTGTAAATTGTTTTGTAATGTCCAGCAGGTGGCGACAGAGTTGCACGTGTAGTCTTTTGTAAAATATTTTATTTAGTAGTAAAACCTTTCTACTGGTGCTGTGCTTTACTTCTTATTCAGAATGTGGCAAAACAGGTTTTTCTGGTAACTCGTGCCAAAACCACAACTTCCATAAAGAATTTGTCAAACCCTTTAGTTACCTGTGAGTCTGCTGATATTGTTTTAGTTTGTCAACAAAATGATGGCTTAGTAACGCCAGAATTGTCAAAGATTTTTTTTTTTCCTTTTTTATGCTCCTATTAGTTTCAAAGAAAGAAAGAAGGCCTGATAACACCTGCACGTAAGAGGGAAGTATGGCGGGCTGCAGCTGTGCAACATCTCAGCCCAGTCTGAGCTACTGACAAGTACTTGGATCCAAAAATACCACCTGGGGTCACTGTGCAAAAGAGGTTCCCCTCTACCTCTTTAGTTTATTTTCCAAATAGATAAATTTCTTTTTGTGCAACTGTTAAAATAAATCTTAGATTTGAACGGTTAAAGAAAACTTCACAAAGATTCTTTCCTCTTTTATTTAGACATCACATGCCGACAGACTGTACTTTTAACATATGCAAAAATAGATGAACAAAACGTAGAGGAAGCCACATGCTGTCTAGCATTTGTGTAGTGCAGCAGAGTTCATGAGATGGAAAAAAAGGGAAGTGCACGTGTGTTTAGTACAAAGATTACAGCAGAGAAAACACATTAAAAACAGAAACTATATTTTTATATGCATCTGTGGATTTCTTAAGTGTTTAATTTAGTCATTAAAAAGAGCTCTTAAAATGAATGACCTCTTCTCAGACTTTGTGAACCAATAAGAGGCTTAAATCTTTACATATATAATATTGTGCTTTTTAAATAGAAAATTGCTGTATTCTATTACACAAAACAAATTACATTTTCACTTTGTCTTCAGCTTCAGAAAATGCCACCAAGTATAACTAGACTATTGCCATTAGTCTTTATTCTTTCTTTTTCTTTCTTTCTTTCTTTTTTTTTGGTTAACAGACTCAAAAAATAAACATTCATCACATTTCAAACAAATCAAATCACACTTTACAAATTGCTTGGGAAAATTGGTTCTAGTGATGTAAGCGGCTGGCTGACATAGGTAACAATCTATTTAAATGTATAAGGTGGGATGTATGATGCTCAAAGCCTAATGAATAGAAAGACGGGTGATTTATTGACTTGTCTTTTTTGAGCTTTCAGTTTTATCTTTATCTCGAGCTTCGAGCTTTTTCTGGTTCCTGCAAAAAATAAAATAAAATAAAATCACAACAAATGATCACATTATGATACACAAGCTGAACTTGGTCTCTTTCTGTGTTATATCTGTGTTGGACAGAAAGTGTGTTATTTCTGTTCATGTGGTGTGAATACTGACCCATGGGAGTGTTCAGGACCCATTAGGGCGGCCTGAAAGCCTGAACGGGATGGAGGTTGTCTCAGGCAAGACGTGGGGTGTGATGGCTGAAATCTGGACAACTCCTGCTGCCACTCATCATCAAACGACTGAGCTTCAGCTGAAGGGGAAAGCTCAGGTTAGGTGGGGTGGTGGAAGACCCTACAGCAGGACAAAAGTGTGATGCAAGTGGAATGCTTTAACATACATTCATCCATATTCTGAAAGTCCTGGCTGAGCTCTTTCTCTCCTGTTTTCTTGTTGTATTTCTTCTCAACAATGTGTCCTTTGTCCTTGATGTGATGTCCAATTCTCATCTTCTGCAGACCACTTTCAGAGTCCTTCACTGCTCGGTGGGTCTCTTTGATCTGGGAAAAACCAGTGTGAGTCAGTCTTCACAAATAATTTCACTTTTGAGGGTTTAAAACATCAAAATGTACTCTTTCAGGAGACTTACCCCTCCAGGGGCACGACGAGTTGATGAGACTGCCTGGAAGACCTTCGGAGGCTCGCTACCGACTTTTGAATACGTCATTACTGATGAGGAGCTGAAGGAGTGGGAGTTTGAATCTGTGGACATGTTCTCCTGAAAAAATCACACACACACACAAACATGCCAGCATTTATTATGAACAGCAGTTGAACAATCCAGGCTGTTTATTTGACTAAACTTACAAAGTTCCTGTGCATCTCCTCCATCCTGTTTCTCACGTTGACCATCATGTTGTCCAACATGCCAAAATGATTGTGCATGCCCTGTAAAAACAAAACACAGCAATATCAGTCAAAGCAACAAGAGCTGGAAGGCTGAACACATGCATGAACGTTGTAAACAACTCCATCATGTGTGCACATATACATGACCGGTGTAGAGTGTTAAACATTCGCTGTAAGCAGAACATTGATCTTTCAGCACCTTAAGAAATATGTTTTGGTGACGTCTAAGTTAGTCATGCATGCTAACATTAACTATTACACATTTAGCATTCCTTCTAAAGAAAACAAGAACAAAGTCATGCATTGAAGACAAACCATCGTTTCTTCATAAATAGATTTATAGAAAATGTTTTAAATGAGCTATTTTAATCCTAAATGAGCAAAAAACTCCCACTCTCACATTAATGATCTTTTCTGCTGACACAAGTAACTCAGCCTCAGTTAAGGTGAGAATAAAGTTTGGTTTACACAGTATTTGATCTGTTCTTAGACACATACGTATCATTTGAGAGGGGTCTCTTTGACCAGTGATACGCTGGCTGGCTGCCAAAGACGGAATCCATCGTCTCTGACCCCCACAATCCTTCTGGCTCTCACTCCGCTTTTGATTGTTTAACTTTAAACCCTAAGCAGTGTGTAATAAGTCTCAGGGTGTAAGTGGATGCCAACCTCTCGATGATTCCTTAGATAAACTCAGTGGTGAGCTCTTGTTTTTATCAGTTACGCCGCCTGACCCGTCTAATACCGATCCTGAAGTGGAGGCACTTGGAATCAGTCATCCATGCCTCCATTACCTCTCGTTTGGACTATGCAAACACACTACTTGTAGGTACTCCTGTCTCTGCCCTGAACCGGCTACAGGTCACCCAAAACGCTGCTGCTAGGTTTTTAACGAACAAGCCGGCGTAGTCATATCACCCCAGTCCTGCCATGTCTTCACTGGCTCCTCGTCACTTTTTGTGTACGTTTTAAGAAATTGATGTTTGTTCTTAAAGCTTTACATGACCTAGCACCTCCCTATTTGTCCAACCTTCTCACCCCCTAAGTACCTATGCGCAAATTGAGGTAAGCTGATGTCCTGCTTCTCTGCACTCCCCGGGTGTACTACAAATCACGGGGTGAACACGCGTTTGCCCATGCTGCCCCCACGCTCTGGAACTCACTGCCTGTTAGAGCTAGGCAGGCACTCTCTCGGCCTGCTTTTAGTCTCGTTTAAAGACTCACTTTTATGGCTTGGCATTCAGACTGTTACTGTTGTGTTTTGTCTACTGTTCTTATTGTTTTTATCTGCTATTGATGCCTTGTTTAGATCCTTATTGCTCTCTTTTTTTATTGATCCTGCCTGTACAGCACTTTGGTCAGCTCTCACGCTGTAGTTTAAATTATGCTATAGAAATAAAGTTGGTATGCTATGGATAACTGACGAGTCAGAGATGAAGGAACAGATGTACTTTCAGAGTTAGAGCATGCACTTTGCCAGTAAAGAGGTTTCGTTTTCCACTGACCGTGCTGTCAGTGCTGCCAAAGGGTAACAATGACCGGCTCATATCCTGGAGATTAAAACATCAGTTTAGATGCATAGAAGACTTTAAAAAACTGTTGCACGCAATTTATTTAACAATGTGGGTCATACTGAGTTTGGGGTTCTGAGATGATCTTCAAAACTACATTAGATAACACTTTCTATTAGTAGTGGAAATGGCTAAAGGTAAAATAATACAAGCTGAAGGTGTCTGTTTATTTAGCTTTTATAAAATATCTTTATTCAAAGTCTTTTGTAATTGTGTGCGTCAGAAGTTAAAATAGCCTAGAAACCACTGGTCTAGAGTCTAGTGATAGACTGGTGACATGTCCAGGACATTCTCCATCTCTCACCTAATGGTTGCTGGAACCTGAGCCCCAAGGACCAAAAAAAGGATGAAGCGGGTTTAGAAAACAGCTGGTTGTCTAAAATATGTTTTTAAACATTCCTAAAACAACAATTTTCAAGATGACCATAAAACCAAGTGACTATTACAGCATAAACATCACCAAAAAGCTGTGTAACACTGATGTTTCTCATTAGCATTTATTTTTGACATTTCTAAAAGAACATCATATGTCATCTACATATTTCTCAGCGTAGCTGATTTTCTTTTCCATTAATCACCAAGTTGCCAACATATCTACTACAAACAGCTCTACACATGGTCTTCTACAGACTTTCAAAGCAACTAACTTACTGGAGTTGCAGCCACCAACAAATGAGTAAGATGGGTGCAGCTTGCAGCCCTCAAGTCACTATCTATGTACTGTGGGCCAAGTCCACAGGTGTTTGTGACCCCTGTTGCCCCAGATAAGCATCCCAACTGCCATCACTATGTGAGTGAGGGTATTTTCTCAGGCTGTGATGTGCAGAGTTATTGTGTGTAATCAGTGGGGTGTTGAATGACTTGTGTTCCATGTGTAATTGGGTCACATTGCCAGAGATTAGAGGGGGTTTCACACCATAACTGAGCTTCATTCTAGGAAGGTTACAGCAGGCAGGGTGGACCAGTCAGGACAGAGACCCAGTAGGGGGTCAGAGAGTCCAAGGCTGCTCTCTCAGCTCTTTTCAAAGGTCAAGCTGAAGTAAAACGCTCCTGAACTGCCAGCTTTATCCCACAGTGGTATCTATGATCTAATAAATGCCAGTTACATATCTGTGAGCATTATATTTAGACTGAGCATGAGAAGGGGAGAGACAGAGCAAAGTAAGGAAAACAGACACACTCATCAACACATTATAGGCATGTTTTGTGATCTCTTGACTGCTGAAACTGACGTGCACTTAGTATGGGGCAGAGGTCGCAGGTCTGTTATCCATCACTTGTGAGACATTTTACAACCACATAATTAAAAAAAATCTTTTAATATAACTACCCTAAATTATATTACAACATGTTTAGCTAATATCAAAAATTTACATTTTTAAAGATTAATTTTTTTGTAAATGATCACATTCCATTTTTATTGATAGAAGTTCTGACAGCTTGTTTGGACGTGGGGCTGTGCTGCTACCCAACAGTACTTTTGTAAACAAGTGCCACGATGAATGAAGACTAAGAAACGTAACATGACCCTGTTAGTGGAGATTGGCAGGAGCTAGAGAAATGTGAGCACTCAGAGGCCGATGATGGTAGACAGCACTTTTCCCTCCACTGGGAATCTCATGGTATGCTTGTAGAAGGAACATAACTGTCCATTAAGAGTGTGTGTGTGTGTGTGTGTGCTTCTCTGTGTACATGCATGCCGTTGCATAAATATTGCAAAGTGAAACTGCGTGTCCCTGTATCTGCAAACGAGTTAATGCCGTATTGTGTGTGTGTGTGTGTGCATTTGCATCTGTGATACTGGAGGACAGCTTGAGAGCGAGCTGTCTGTCATCTAGCTGCTAATGTGCCAGTGATGCCAAGTTCTGTGAAGCAGATGGACGAAAAGAGCAACAATGAGAAAACAGAGAAGCCGTGACATCTGAACATGAAGTACATGCCGTTACAACAGCCCCAGCTTTTCCACCACTGTGGGTTTGAACTTCTTATCTTCTGAGACGCGTGTGTGTGTGTGTGTGTGTGTGTGTGTGTGTGTGTGTGTGTGTGTGAGAGTGTTTGTGTGTGTGTTATAGATATTAATTTAGTTATTGGACTTGTTTTTTTCTCTTTTATAACACATTCTTTTGACATCTACTCATTTGTTTGGAAAACAAATCTGTTTTTCCACTTGTCAAAAAAGGCCAAGAGATTTTAAAAGTTAATTTTCTTAGCTGGATCATTTGAAGTGTATTAGTCTCTATTGACGAGGTTATATGTGTAGCACTCAAAGTAAGTCCAGCTGCTTGCAGCACGGTGCTATTAAAAAGAAAGCACACGGTACGTGATCAAGGCCATGCTTCTGAAGTAAGCCATTATCAAGGATAAATACAGCCTCCCGTGACAGACTTGGATTAAAGCAAGTGACTGTGACTAACTTTGACCGAGTATCAATATAACTTGGAAGGGAGTAGAAGATTAGTAAAAAGTTCATGATTAATGCTCTCAGCTCCTCTTCTTATGATACAAACAAGCAGATTTTACAACATGATGACTCTGTGTTAGCATCTCATCTGGATCCAAATGAAAATCATTTTAAATATTTCTTGAAATGCTCTTCACATACTGATGGCAAGTTACCAAATAAATTGAAAGTTTTTTTTTTAAATTGACTAATTTGTCGCCTCTGAAACAAACAAGCCTGAGAAAATTTCACATCAATCACTGTGAACATCTCGTTCTTAATAATTTGGGTCATGGCCCATTCATCTGAGCATAGTTTGCTTTGAACGGCAAGAAAAACAACTCTCTTTAAAGAGTCATTCTGACAGCTTCTTTAAAGAGCAAGTCACCCCCAAATCAACTTTATTTTGCTGATAAACTATATAAATGTGTGTCTAATCGTGCTGTAAACACATGCAGTCAATCATTTGGCGCTTTAGCGCATCTTAATTAAAATTTAAACATTCTGCCTAACACTGTCAGTGTTCTCTTCAGGTAAAAACTCAGCACTGCATTTGAATTTAAATCTGCCATTGCTATTGGCTAAGAGGCACACTATGACATTAAGCTGGTACATTAGGATGTCACAATGTCGTTGTGAGCTTGTGTGTGTTTGTGTGTGTGTGTATTTGTTAGTGGCTCCACCCTCTCGGCCTGCTAGGCAACAGCATTTGTTACATTTTTCAAACAGGAAGTGGGAGTGGAGTAACACGCTGGTAGGGGGTGATTTGTTCTTTAAAGAGCAAGTCACCCCCAAACCAACATTTTCTTGCTGATAAACGACATGAACGAGTGTCTAATCGTGCTGCAGACACGTGTAGTCAATAATTTGGAACTTCAGTGCATTTTAGTTGAATTTTAAATATTCTGCCTAAAACTGTCAGTGTTGCGCCCGTCAGGTAAAAACTCTGCACTGTATTTGAATTTAAATCTGCCACCGCTATTGGCTAAGAGGTATTCTATGATGTAAACTGGTACCTTATGATGTCACAATGCCACTGTAAGCCTGTGTGTGTGTGTGTATTTGTTAGCAGCTCCGCCCTCTCGGTCTGCCAGGCAACAGTATTTGTTGCATTTTTTAAACATTAAGTGGGAGTGAAGTAAGTCTCTTGTACTACCAGAGTATTACTCCACTCCCTGTTTGAAAAATGTAACAAATGCTGTTGCCTAGCAGACCGAGAGGGCAGAGCCGCTAACAAATACACACACACACAGGCTCACAATGACATTGTGACATCACCATAGTACCCGCTAATGTTCTAGGGTACTGCTTAGCCAATAGCAATGGCAGATTTAAATTCAAATGCAATGCAGAGTTTTTACCTGACACTGACAGTTTTAGGCAGAAAATAAAAATTTTAACTAAAACGCACTAAAGTGCAAAACTATTGACTACACGTGTCTGCAGCATGATTGGACATGCATTTATATAGTTTATCAGAAAAAAAAGTTGATTTGGGGTGACTTGCTCTTTAAAGTGCAAGTCACCCCCTACCAGTCTTCCAGAATATTTTAATTTTAACAAAAATGCACTTAAGTGCCAAATTATTGACTGCACGTGTTTACAGCATGATTTGACACTCAATTATATAATTTATCAGCAAAAAAAGTTGATTTGGGGGTGACTTGCTCTTTAAATCTGTTATTGGCTAAGAGGTACACCATGACATTAGCTGGTACATTATGATGTCACAATGTCGTGGTGAGTATCAGTGTATTTGTTAGCAGCTCCACCGTCTCAGTCTGCCAGGCAACAGCATTTGTTGCATTTTTGAAACAGGAAGTAGGAGTGGATTTACCCCCAAATTCCACTACCTCCACTCCGCTCCGACACGAACGCCGGAGCAAAATCGGTCCCGTTGTAGTCAATCAGAGCAATTCCACTAATGCGGCCGTGCTCCGGCAGTGTGGCGCCGCGCGCCGCCCTCTGTTCCGGCGTCCAGCAAAAATAGGATTGATTCTATTTTTGCCGGACGCCGGAGCACCTCCGCAGTAAATGGACAGAAATCACAACCGCACAACAGGAAAAGGAGCAAGCACATCTTCCGTTTTTCACAATAAATCGATAAACAAAAGGCGTTTTTTGTTTCATATGCACAGGTTTAACAACTTTTAACAATTATCAATGGTGGCTGAAGTTTAAATGCACAAAAGTAAGCCATAAATACAGTTTCTACTATCAAAGTAGTCACACTTTGTTGATCCAAACATTGCTGATCTGTCAACACAAATGATGGGCAGATTAAACAGTTCATGCCGATGCTTCTCCCACACAACGGGTGTTTGGATAACTTCCGCGTTTATTGCTCGGACTGTATCGCAAGATCTCGAAAATCCCGCGCATGCTTGTTTGCCCACCTCAGGTCTCCGCACCGGAGCGGAGCCGTTGTAGAGCAGGTACCAGTAAAAATTGAGTTCTGAAGCGAGCGGCTGCGGAAGGCGGGGGCGGACCCGAGCGGAGCGGAGGTAGTGGAATTTGGGGGTAAGACTCTGGTAGGGAGTGACTTGCTCTTTAAAATATAAAGAAAAATCTCAGCAGCAGCTCATACCAGTAAAGCAGAATTCTCAGGGGACCTTCAAAGATGTTTGTGCATGTATTTACAAAAAAGTTGTGCGTTAGTGGAATAATGCACTAAAAATAGGTCTTCTAGGGCTGGATATAGCTGACAAGAGGCAAAGGGGGTTGCTCTTCCACTAAACCAGAGACCAACACGGCCCTGTACTTCTACAAGGTTCAGGTACACTATGGGGGATGCATCCTGCCTAAGAATTAGAGACTCGTCAAAACCCTGTCGTTTGTCATGGGTCCAAAATGTACGAATTATGTTCAGCCCCCCAAAAATGAGCACATTACACGTCTCAGACCCAAATGCCTGAAAGAAGAGTGCATTCTGAACTGGATGTACTCACCCTGTGTTCATTTCTCAGAGCAAGTGATGAACTGGGATGAACTCCCACGTCACGTCCATGGTTTCTCCCATCGGTTATACTGGGAAACGAGGATGCACCAAACGGTTCAGAGAAGCTACGCATCATCTGCCTCATTTGCTCTCTGTGAGCACGGAATTGATCTCTGTCAGAGAATATGAGAAGTGTAAAGAAAAAAAGGGAGAGATTTAAAAACAGTCACAAAAATGTCAGCCATCGGTCGATTAAAAAGAAACATGACTCGTCCCTTACACAAACTTGGAGCTCATGGGTGAATTCTTCAATGAACACACCAGACTGAAATAAGACGCACCCCAAAATAATTTTAGCCACCCCTACGCACACTTAGAAGTCGGGTTGAGTGTGGCCACACTAACTCATGGAGCTTGTCAAAGTTAATGTAGTTCGGTGTCTGTGTGAAGTTGTTTGAAATATAATTCAAATGTATATCTGTAAAATAACAAAACTGTTTTTCATCAACTATGTGGGGACACATAACTGCTAGCTTAAAATAATCTGCGTTGGTTCTCTACGCCTTCGTTTTGATAATTTAACCTGAAGCTAAATCATCTAAACAGGTGCTACTACTCACGAAAAGAACGGGTCCTCCTCAAAATCCCTCAGCATGCTGTTGAACATTTCCGCGGACTTTAAAACCACAAAAACAAACCGAACTGGGAAATTTACTAAGTAATTATCTGTACCGAGCTCTCCAGTCTCGCCTGACCGTTAGTAACGGAGGTGTCAAGCAGTTAGAGCCAAAGCGAACGGTGCTCATGTGACAGAAATCCGCCTCCCTCATTGGTTACTTTCGCAGGACTCTTTAAACAGGTTCTGTCCACGCGCTCCATGTTGTGAACGGCTACTGTGGCAACGACACTCGAGAACTTTCTTTCATTAAAAAAACGTTTATCTACTCTGTCAAAATAATAATAATAATAATAATAATAATAACAACAACAACAACAACAATAATAATTATTATTATTTTATTATTATTTTAAAAATCCCCATATTTTTGTAACTTTTCAGCTATGCCTATTTAATGTAAACTGTTAAGATTTTGAAACATAATTTATGTGGGATTTATTTAACTAAATCTAAACTAAACTAAACTAAACAAAATCTTAACGGCTAATTTTTGGTGCATATGAATCTGGGTAAACTAAATTCTGGAAAGATGTGCTGACAAAATTAATTGCAATTAAGTACTCAAGCAGCCATGTGTGCGTTTCATGCAGTAAATCATGTTTACAAGCTAAAATATTCAGTTTCAACACTGATCATTTGAAGAGAGTATTATATTCAGACTCATAGGTTTACCATCTGGTGAGCCCATGAATAGACGCCATAAATCGTGGCCAACAATCTTAGACCAAACCACTGACACAACACTCTGGAAAACACAATGTGGTTTGCATGCTTAACAGCAAAGTTGAAGACGTGTTAGGTCATATAATTTTTAATGTTTGTTTTGAAACAAACTAAAGGGAAATATTAAAAATTAAATAAACTTTCTAAAATTTTAGAGTAACATGTTATAGTGTACCAAAAGTAAGTAAGTATTTCTTCTAAATGACCAAAAGTTAACTTTTAACTTGCAGGCACAAACTGCATCACACATCCTGGGCCAGATCATAGCTATCTGGTCTCCAGATCAGACAAGCACTGCTCGATGACCTTGTTACTGAATAAGGGAGCCATAATAGTCCTTCCCCTAGCTCCCTTACCTTTGCTGGAACCCAAGACCTCATACAGAAGACGAGACTTTTACTCTCTGAATAAAGTTTATCTTTCCTGACATAAATGACTTTACAATTTTATAAGTGTCATATAATCATCTCTTGTTGAATGAAAAATTTGTTTAAATTCAAAGTGCATAAATAATGTCTACATTAATCAACGAGGGGTTAAAATGAATATTTTTCCTGTAATGATTCATTTCAGATCAACACCAGATTAGTAATTGTTGACTATATAATTTCATCTATCAGTATATTCACAATAATATAATATTATTATTAATGTTTAACATTTTCACTTCTCACTAAGAATTAACCTCTTAGTATCGGAGTGAAGGAGGGATCTTCTGAGGTATGTTGGTAATGGCCTTTAAACTTGTCAAATTCTGATTTGTCTAAAATTTGTCAACAATTAATGAATAGAAGGATCCAGAGGTGTGGACTCAAGTCAGACTTGAGTCATTATTTTAATGACTTACTTGACTTGATAAAATGTATAAAGACTTACGACTTGAATCGACTTGCATCTGTTGACTTGGGCATATTTGATATTTTAGCACAAAAGTGGCACACCATGGACAAAAATCATAAGTCATTCTTCGTTCTGGGTTTGATCTTGTTCTAAATGCAGCAGCACTTTGTTCATAATCAGTTTCGGCTGCACTTTCTGCTTGTTTGAGCAAAAAATGAAGCTTTAAAAAGCTTTTTTCTGGATTTTTTTTTTATTATCGTCATTAAATTGAAGTTGGACAGATGACTTGAATATCACTTGAAAATTCAAAGTTAAGGACTTGGCCTTCCACATCATTGACTTTGGACTCAACTTGGACTTGGTTGTCTTTGACTTGACTGGAAAGACTTGTGACTTACTTGTGACTTGCAAAGCAGTGACTTGGTCACACCTCTGAAAGGATCGCTTCCTGATCTGTTTAATTCTCCAGCGGTCTCCTGGTTCAACCGACAGGCGAGCAAGCATTTGGAACCATCCTCTCTTTTGACCCCAAGGTCAAAGCTTCTCTGCAACGCTTGCGAGTGATTTCAGACACTACAACCTCAGACGTGGAACGTCTAACCTGCAGACCCTGGTTGCATCTCATGGCCGGACTAGAAATCTGAATTCAAAGGGAACTACGGCTCTTTGAGATTCCTGTGGCCACGAGGTCCGGTAAATCACCACTCTGGCTGCCTTTCATCCAAACGGCTTAGAGCGACAGTCACACAAGTGTTCGTAGACTCTGCACGATTGTGTTGGTTTTATAAATAAACTGTAGCTTATTAAAGCATGCAGCCAAACTGATTTTACAACCCAGACATCACGAGATCTCTCTGATACTTACAAGGTCTTGCTACAACCATCTAGCTTACATTCCATTTCATTCATTATCTGTTATCTGTACAACCATCATTTCATTCATACTTTGTCATGTATAATCACTACTTTAGAAAAATAGAATTACATTTTTATAAAACTATATACTTGACTCTTGTCTGAATTAATATGAAATGTGTGTTGAATATTTAAAGAACTTAAAGTGATATTAATTCAAATATTTAAAGATCAATCAGATTCATATTTATATAGAATATCACATCTTATTGATCACTTAACAAATATGTAGTCAATCCTCACCACTACAAGGTAAATTTGTGGCAATATATCCGACACCAAATGTTTTTATTATAAAAACAGCAGCTTTAACAGACTATATTGAACATCAGGCATCAAATGTTACATCAACTCAGAAAAATAACACCTGACATTTACATTTTCATCATGAGAAGTTACAAAAGACAAATAAAGAACATTAGTTCATTTATTCATTAGCTTTAATAAAAAATAACAGGCAACACCAGGACACAAAAACTGCTCCACAGGTCCTGAGAGAAAGGAGTTTGAAAAAAGCTGCAATGATCTCGAAATAATTTAAAAGATGACTGAGAAGCAATGAAGACAAATAAGATGCAGCTCTGGACTGGAAAAAGAAAGATCTGCTCTCTAGGGAACAGGACTTCCCATCAGCCTCTCCTGTCGAAGGGAGATCAGTCTGTTCAGCCACAGCTCCTCAGCTGTTTCCTTTTCCATGAACAACTGCAGAAAAGCATAAAGAAGTCAAGTTGAAAAGCCTTGAAACAGAAGAAAACAGTGAAACAGTTTAGCTTTTTGTTTGACAGCATTTCATAGATGTTAGTATTAGATCCTAAGATGTGTATAAAAACAATTATAGAGTGATATCTCCAGTAAGATGAGCATAAGTTGCAAATGTAAACAAAAACAATTAAATCTGCTTCCAGGAATTGTTTTGAGGGGGAAAAAATAGTCTTTCGCACTTGATCTGACTCCTAAATGTGCCTAAAGCCTTGTGATCTGGCCACAACGACAGAATCTGTTGGTCACACAAATGCATTTATAATTATAACATGTTGTAACTAATTATAATGTACAATAAAAATGGTTTATTTTGAATCTTTGGGTCTGGCTCTAACACATCTCCCATTCTGACTAATAAAAGAGCTTTAAGTTCCTGGAGTAGAGTTGTTAGCGCTGCTCATTTAAAGCCACCTGAGTGTAGCTGCTGAGACAGTTATGATGCTCTAATACTACAGTAACAGGTGCATCTCTCATGTCTTTTCAGGCCGGTCTATTAGAAGCCATCCAGTCCTGTGACACTCGCTCCTAGACAAAGGCCTGCATGTGTTACTTATTCCCAGCGCTGTACATCATCGGTAGAGATGATACTGACTGTAAGAGGGTCGTGAAACTGCTGCTTCAAGTGTCTGATGAATGAAGGCATCTGTTTATTAGGAAGTAACACAACGACTGAGACGCAGGGCACTGGGACATTGGAAACAAATGTCAGATTATTCCTATATTCGCTGCAGGGGGAGGTATAATGTTGACATGCTGGTGATGTGTACATACTGTACATCTGTGGGATGATACAGATGTCTATTACTATGCAGATGGTGGAGCAACTCCAGACACGTCCATCCTTCATCTCCAGCCTACGCTACGTACAGCTACGCTTGCATGTAATCTGTGTGTTAGAATCAGTACCAGTGAGTTCTTGTCTGTCGGCCCTGAGCTGGTGTCATGGTGCTAACGAGGCAGTGTGTGTGGGATGACAGTATCTGAACCGGGCTAATGGGACTCATCTGTTCTAATTGGGAGTGGAGCTGGAGATGGTGCAGGGGCCGGGGCTCGCCTGGGGCATATTGCTACCATATATCAGCCTGTCTGACAGTGTATGTATGCATGTGTGTGTGTGTGTATCTGTGTGAGTGGGTTATCTGCATACATCAGGGTATAACTTAGTTTCCCCAGTGGAGATAGATGACTGGGAAGCCCCAGGGAGCGTTATTGGAGTTTAAAGTTTTCCTTCTCGTTTTTCATCATTGGCTTGCCGCTAGAGGAGGAGGCAGTGTTAGGAAACTATAAACTGGTATACTGCGGTGTGATATGATGCTCTGAATCAAAGTATGCAGGAAAGTGTTGATGCGTTAGAAGCAGTAGAGGCACTTTTAAATAAAAAGTCCACAATCGTAAAAACATGGTGGTAACTGAAATGACATGGAGAGAGATCAACATTGAAATTCTTGAAGTTTGAAAGTTTTTTTTAACCTCGTGAAACCCAAATTTGGTGTGATTCATAAAGAAAAAAACATTTCTAGCCAGTACAGATTAGTCGACTCTCATAAATGTGAAAAAAATTCATAAACATTTAATAAACAGTTTTGACAAATTTCCTCCCAGGAAAAGAAAGGAAAAAAAAGTTACACTTGAAGTAAATATCAAGTGTCTCAAAAATAACAATAAAAAAATATTGTGGCAAATTCCACGCCAAGGTGACGGGGAGAGCAGACTGCTAACAATTAGCACCCAGCAAGATCAAGGACATCGACTCCAGAGAGTCAAGGCAAGGCAGCTTCATTTATATGAGCACATTTCATACATAGAAGCAATTCAATGTGCTTTCCATTAGCAAGAACAGCAAGAACATTAAAGTCAACAAGACAGAAAATACAATTAAAAAATGATAAAGAAACAAAATGTGAGCAGTTACAGTGCAGAAGGTGCAGCATAAGAGCAGTCATTCAAAGGCTGATGAAAACATGAAGGTTTTCCATTTTGATTTTAAAGTTACTAGAGTTGGGGCAGATTTGAGGTCATGAGGAAGCTGATTCCATCTGTGTGCAGCATAGTAGCTAAAATCAGCCTCACCCTGTTTGGTTCTGACCCATTCTGACCTAAGGATCTCAGAGCCCTGCTGGGCATATGTACAGGAAGGAGATCTGACATGTATTCTGGCCCCATGCTATTGGGTGATTTATAAACTAGTAGAAGCACTTTGAAATCTGTTCTGCAGTTTACTAGTAACTAGTGTAGAGATTTAAGAACAGGAGTGATGGGCACGGTTCTGCTTTATTCTAACTACTTTGTTCAACATCCAAACGGTACCGCGGTCCCATTCCTCGGACTGGAACCCCTACTCATAGTGCCGAATAGACACAAACTAAAAATAGCAGAGTCAGAACACTGAGCAAAAGACTAAGGACACAATCCTGGCAATAATCTTAGCAAAACACACCGAAATGGAACAAAACTACTGACAACCCATTACCCACAATGCACCTCACTTACTGCCTGTTCCACAGTGGGCAGGGCCACTACAACATTATAGTGCAAAAAGTCAATGTCCACATATGTGAACACAGGAGCTTCGGAGGTTAGATGCCTATATGAAGCTGAAAGACAACTTGGGATGACTTGGGGTTTGATGGTGGGAACTTACACTGGGGTGAGCAAGCGTGTCATCGTCGTCGTAAATGATCGCCAAGGGGAAAGAGATGTCCTGAGAAGATGAAGTCAGTGACTCCTGCTTCACCTCAGCTGACCCAGTCTGTGTTCAAAACAACACAGTGGAAGGAAGAAGAAACAAAAATTTAATAAAAGTACCACGAAATCCAAATTGGAGTTAATGCTGAGGTAATACATGCAGTGCATACATTCAATATGATTACACGTCACCTAAGAAATGAAAAAGAAATGCAAAGCTCTACAGCTTATCATTATTTTTTATCTCATTCGTCAAAGAAAAAGGAGGTTAATATCAAAAGTAGCAAAAAAAATTTAATAAAAAGCTAAAACTTTGGAAACCTCTATAAAATAAATGTATTATATTATTGCATTTTGGCAAAAATGATAGATTTCTGTACATTGGTGGGAAAATATCGATAAAAAATTGGTGTTAAGATTAGGCACGCTGTTTGCAGCAGAGGCAACAATTTCTTTGAGCATTTTGATATTTGCCCAGCAGGTGGCAGAGAAGGACTAACATGTGCAGCCAACACCAGCCTAAAGAGACGCATTAAATCTCTCCTGATTAACTTTCGTGTATAATAACTTTTACTTTCCTCTCATTTCAGCTATCTTTAGTTTACTCTGTTGATCACTGTTAAAACCGAGCTTCGTCACACAGTAGCAGCAACTTTATGGCACTCATTTCCTTTTAGAGCTAATGGACTATTTGAAAGGAATTTAAATGAGGACAAAGCTGGCTGTCCCTCTAGTGTTGCCATATCTCCGGAGCTCGAGCTGATTAAAGAAAGGATTGTGTTTAAAATGAGTTGTCCTCCTCCTACTTTTTAGCTATAATAAACCGTGTGTTTGAACGGGGAGCTTGTTTCCAGTGTTGTATTTGGTAAAGAAGAAATATCAAAATGAACAGCAGCTCAACAGGTTGAGCGGGTTGCCCAGTAATTGGAAGGTTGCAGGTTAGATCCCGGCTCCGGACAGAGGATTCTGCTGTTGTGTCCTTGGGCAAGACACTTAACCCACTTTGCCTGCTGGTGGTGGTCGGAGGGACGGGTGGCGCCTGTGCTCGGCAGCCTCGCCTCTGTCGGTGTGCCCCAGGGCAGCTGTGGCTACATTGTAGCTCATCCCCACCAGTGTGTGAATGTGTGTGTGAATGGATGAATGATACACTGTAGTGTAAAGCACTTTGGAGTCCTTACTCTGAGAGGCGCTATACAAGTGCGGGTCATTTATCATTCATTTAACATTTTGCCAGATCCACTCATGTTTGAAACACTACTGATAGCAGCCCTTGAGCAAATGTTTACCCAGTAGGAAAAATCTTTTAAAAATTTCATTTGGCAAGATACAAAAAGTGAGCGTGATTTGAAATGCGCTGACTGATAAGGATGGTGATGCGCCAGATTGGGTACCGTTCCTGGGGAACAAGCTGCTGAACGTACAGCTTCAGTAAATCCTGCCTGCTTGAAAGGAAAGAAAAGGAAGACATCTTTTTTCTTGTTCTTTTTGTTATCTATTCTCTAAACCTATTGTACGACATGGTTCAATGAAATGAAATGAAAACACACTACTTATGATAAATCATGAATATGTAAAAAAGGCAAATTCTGAACAAATAATAAATGTTATCCTCGAAAAAAAAACATTTTCGCTGCTGTTAATTAATACGTCATAATGCTTCAAATCATAAATTTACAACAAAAAGTCTAAAAATGTGCAATAAAATGTTCTAATTTGCATTAAATATTATAAATATGTTAATTATTGTGATAACATCACTAAACTTTAATATTTTTTAGATAATTAGTCTGCATCTATAGGGTGCGAGTTATGCCCAAAGGATTACTCTCAAAACAAATGAGGATGGAACAAAAAAAGTCCTTAAACTTGATTTTGTATTTGATTCAAATTCTTTGAACACAAAAATAAACCAGCCCGGTATAATACAGAGCGCTGGCAAAACGACATAAATTGTCTGCAGAATAAAAAAAAAAAGAACTCTCTCGCACGTTAAACCGGCTTTAAAGCAAACCTTTAACTTGACGCACGTTTGTCCTTCACAGCCGTAAACGTCACAGATTACTTCTCATCCTGGTGAATGTCTCATTACTTGAAAGATGCAGGGGTAGCTCGCTTCAGACCAAACTCTAATCACAAGGGTTGTGACCTTGGTCAGAAGCACCACAACGCTTCCCAGATGTTTTTGCAGGTTTGTTGTCACATGCTGTCACTGCAGAAGAGCCATGAGCCCCCAACAAATCTAATCTCTGCTCCTTCAGGAGGAAAAACATTTCAATAATGACCTCTGCGCCTCGTCTACGCCCGCACAACTAGAGGCGGTGTTGTGTGTGTGTGTGTTGGGGGGCGATTATTGGAGAACGGCACACAGACTTGGGAGACGTCGGACAACTGCTGCCTGGTGTGGCTTTTGTGTGGGTGCTGCCGCTTTGGAGCCAGAGAACAGCGGACAGTCTGATGAAGCAGTGTCAGGCTAGAGCAAACGGCACTGAATGGGAATGTTTGATTCGGTCTGGGCTGTCTCTGGACAGACGGCGAAGCAACGCAGAAGAGGAAAATTCAATAAGAGATGGAGTGAAAAGCTAGAGAGTGAGGTTCTGGGAGAGAAAAGGGGAGACAGAACGCACCTTTGTGTCATCCCGGGATGATTTGAAAGCCTGAGGAACAAAGGAATCACTCTCGATGGCCTCGATGTCCTTTATCCTTCGCACTTGCTCCTCCAGAGAAGTTCCCTCTGAAACACACGTCACACACAGATGGAAGCCATGAACAAAAGCACACGACACACACAACCAGAATGAGGCACGCGTGGCCTCAGTCACACAGAATGTGGGCCATTCTGTCCTCTTCTGAAAGGCTCCTGATGTCACCTAGATAGGACGCTCCATCTTGTGTAATGCTTTCTGACACATACAATATCAACCGTCTGATATTCTCCTATTTTAATCCGAGACCCCCACCAGAAGAAAGTACTCATGCCAAGCCAAGGACGGAGAGTTCCTCCAAAAGGTCAACTGGAGTAAAAGATACTAACTAGATAATAGCCAGACAGTGAATTACACTCAGATAATGGCATTCTAAAATAATCAAAATATGAACACAAACTTACTGCAGTGGAATTTCATTACAGAGACTAAATGTGATTAAGTTTCATATCGTTCTCATGTACCAGAGAGGAGACTTCTCTGGCTTGTCCAATCTTACAAAAAGACACAAAAGGTTTCCTATAAATTACTCTTGGATAGAAACACATCAGGATTCTGCATATCAAATAACAAATCATTTCAAGAATCCAAGAGCCGCCTTTGTAGCGTGGGAGAGCAAAAATAGGTGTGCCAGGAAACTTAGCGACGAGGGGAGAAGAGGGAAGAAAAAACTCTGAATGCTCTCATTATTTTCCAGCTGTCAATCTTTCCACTGATCAGTCAATAGTCATCCCTCTTGTTCCCATCCATCCGTCCTCTCCTGCACTCTCCCATCTCTCTATCTGTCAATCCAGAAGACATCCATGTTCCTGTGCTGCACTGATGTAGGCTGTGTCATGAAAACAAGCACATAACACGGGAACATGGTCAGAGTGGGACACGGGAGCTGAACTACACCCACATGTACATAAAAACTTACAAACTTAGTATTCGCACATTTAAAGCTTGCAGGGATAAGTGCATGTGTGTATCCTCACACGACTTCACCACACACACACACACACACACAATGTGAATTTGGGGCTGATTACAGGAATTAATTCAATCCATTAGCAGGTACAGAACGAGTGTCATAACAGATCTCCATGGCCCTGGCGTTTAATGAATAAATGAATATTTGGGCCGGCTTCCACGGTAAAATGTCACACACTTTATTACGGTTCAGAACGGCACTTCAGCAAACTGGGGTTTGATTTTAATGCAGTGCAGAATGGGACAACTGAGTGACGAGTGGAATTAAGTCGGCCTATATGACTTACTATCAGCTTGTCATCCTGCGCGGAGGAGATGTGAGCAGAAACGCATTCAACAATAGTCATTACCTTGACTGAACACAGGCCAAATATCCTCCTGGAGACTGTGGCCTGTCCTTCACACCTCCATCACCACTGCAGGGCTGCCTGTGTGCGTGCGTGCATGCGTGTGTGTGTGTGTTTGAATGGAAGCTAATGCATGCAACTGCCCAACAATTAATTCAGCAGAGTTAATTCATTTTTTTCAATTACCCCTTCTCTGCTGTCCTTTGAGCATGAATGCCCTACATAAACAATAGCTACTCTGACGTGTAAACACACACACACACACACACCCGTATCTGCTAGCATCTCCTTGGCGAGCCCGTCTGTTGCTGGGCTGTCGGCGTGCGGCGCAGGAATCCATTAAGACCTCAGACTTTTTGACAAACACATTATTGGTAGATAAAATGACTTCCATATGCTGTTTGTCAGATGTCAGCGGGAAAAGATATGTATTTCACGAGAAAATCAAAAATAATGGACTTTGAGTACAGGCCAAGCAAGCTCAGAGGCAGGCAAAAATCAATACTCGAGCTGGGTGAGTGCACTCTGCAGCTTGAAGAGGTCAAAGTTGATATTTAATATTGACACATTATCTGGCAAATTAATTTAACGGGTCGACTCATTTGTCACCGCATTAGGAGCGCTTCACTGTCGGGCAGCGAGACGAGGATGAAGTGAAACCCGAGAGGGAGAAATTAGAGAAGGATGCAAGTAAACATACGGTACAAGCGGCTAGAAATCTAGAAATGCTCAACAGTTGATGCTCAAAGTTGAAATGTCAGGCTGTAATCCAGAGAATGAAGGTCACCAAACACTGTTACCATGTTTACATGTATTTGAATAACATCTAGTGACAGCAATCTGCATGCTAAAAGTCTTTGTGCTCTGAGACTGATGCATACCTGTGTGCTGATGCATACATATAAAAAAATAAGGTGTCAGAAAATTCACCGGCCAGCTCATTACTGAAATTAGTAAGATAGACAGCAGAGTTGATGAGCAGCTCAGGATCAATAGACTATTGTTGTCTCTAAATAGCTGTTTGTCCACTTCATTGATTAAGACCCAAAGACGGGGGAGAGAAAATCAAACCAGCCAATGGAAACAGATTTCAGATCAGTCTCAACCTGGACGACAGGGGTGGGCGTTCACAAGCTAACCAAAAGAGGGTGCTGTTGCACAACACATGCCATCTATCCCAGCCACAGTCTTGTCTGGGCTGATGTTCTCATGCTTTACTTGACTTTGGTCTACAGTTTGTCAATCAAGAGTAGCTGAGCTGAATATATGGCAGCTGCTGCTGCTGATTAATTCCAGTAATTGACTCTTCTGCGGCGGTCCGACCAAATTACTGCAGCGCTTGTTTTATAAGAAAAAGACACATTAATAAAAAGGTAAATTAACGATGTTTAATTGAGATTTTTCAAAGTGAAACCAAACTTTTCAGTGTTTTGTTACTTAGTGGCTGAACTTTAAATGAAAATAATTCATTGTATGTATTAAAAGGAAAAGAAAATAGCAAAAAAGGACCCACTTTGTCCACGAACTTATGATTAAAGCCATACTTTGCAACTATTTCATATTTTCAAATAATTCTTTTGAGCCAGTATGTGCTAAAATGACCCTTTACAGGGTTAATGAAAGCCCAGCCAGCCCTTATCGCTCTCTGTGGCCAGAATAATCCACTTGCAATTTCAGACTGGCAGGCCGCTATGATGGGACTTTTAAAAAATTGAGCTGACATACCTGGCGCTGCAGTCTAGTTCCAGCATGTTTTCTGCATGTTTTAGATAATAAACACATCTGATTTGTTTAATTTAGTGATATAACACTGCTGTAGACACTAATGAAGGCTGGGGAGACATTTCAGATGCTAGATTAAGGTGTTAAGGTGACAAACGCACAGTGAGGAGATACGTTTTGCTTTTGGTTCTACAGACACTAGGGTGAGCTAAAATCAAGCAAAACTGCCTAGTTTTCCTTTAAATGTGTAACGTGAGTAGTGAATTTAAAACACTGTTCTATTTTTTATGTGATTTTTATTGTCTTATAGTTTTAATGGTATTGTCCACCAATTCCCTCCGTTCATCCAGCTCAGATGGAACCCTTCATTTTTGGAAGACGCCAGAATAAACAAACGTTAAAGTCTTTGTGTCTTGTTTTTACACGTAAACATTTGCACTCTGCAGCTTGTCTTGATTTCCCAGGTTTCAGTAGCGTGCCCCCCCCCCCCGCAATGTGGTAAAGACGGGTAATTCAATGCTCAATTTGGGCTGTCTCAGTGGAGATTTTTTTTGCCTGCTAATTGATAGAAATTAAGCCATTAATCAAGCCAAGAGCCATCATTCAATCCAGAGAAGATGAATACAAACTTTCATAATAACCACCTTCCCCATTTTAGGCTTCATTAGCATTAATTTTTAATGTAATTATGCTATTCTTTTACGCTGAGCTCATAAATTACTGCTCTTTTGTTGCAAGCTGGCCTTGTAAAATCCAAAGTAATGCTTTGTAGTCTGATCTTTAAGGCAATTACTGGCTTCTTCACTCTTTTATCTCGGTGCATTTTCAATAACCTGCTCTCTAATGATTTATCTCCGCTGCACTCCCCGCCAACCTCCTCCCCAATACCCTTTCTCGCTCTGCACCAATGGCCGGCTGCCCCGCTGCCAGCCTCCACCTCCGGTACCTCGTCCACCTACGTTCTCACCATCTCTCTGTGGCAGCCTCAGATTCATCAGGAAAGCACACAAACACAAGTACAAACTTATTCGTCCACCATCCCAACAATATTAACACAGTAAAAAGTGCACGAGTGAGCATGCACTAACTTTGTTTACCACCTCTTTTAGTGCTTTTCCAGCTTAATTAGTAAATTTCCAGCTTCAGCACTTGCGACGACACCAAGGGAACGCCGAATAAGAGACCGGTGCTGCTTCTCTCTCTCTCTCTTTCTGTCTTGGCTGCTCTCCTGTGGGTCTTACCTGTAGGCTAGTTGCTCTTGTTTATGTAACCCCTGAGCTGAGTAAACTCACGCATGCATGCATGAATACACACACAAGCACACACTCGCAGAGCTTGGCATCAAACAGCTGAGTTAAGCTTAGCAGGGCTGTAAGCTGGGGGCGATCGAGGGGCTTCGGCCTGGCCCAGTTCTCGGCAGCAGCAGCACCATCATCTTGCCTGTATCAAAGTCTTTCCTGTACAATTCTTCAGGCCCAAACAACAGGCTGCTGCTGTGCAACAAAACAAAAACACTACCGGAAAGAAAAGTTACTTTTCAAAATCTTTCTGATGAGATTTCTTCATCAGCACCGAGAAATCATCTCTCTCCTTTAAATGACCAATCTGTATGAAGTTTGTCCATAAAAATCAGATCCAAAGTCAGATGCATCAGTATGTAATGTATCAGGAAGCTAATGAGCGACTATTAGACCTATTGATTTGATTTCAATTGTCAATATTTGCATAAGTGTTACTCTGAACCTCTATATAATAAAAAGAGGAAAGAGAAGACTTCATTATAAAAAAGGGGTTGAATGAGAAAAAAATCAGAAAACTTGGTTGATGTGCTGCGTGCGGCCTTCCTTTTGAATCTATCAAATAAAAAAACTAAATATAAATTTTTCTCTGCACATTTCAGACTTCCAACCTTAAAAGTTTATTGGATTTTTTCACACGTTGTAAATCAATGAACACTTTTATATTAGATTATGCACACCACAGGTATG